TCACATATCGGCTCGATAATTTCACTCTCCCGAGCGAAAGAATTCCGAGTCACGATGCAAACGGAAGAGCGAGAAACGCGAAGTTGAGGTACATATAACGCATCAATCTTTCTCGGCGGTTACATACCCGGGGGTGAATTTGGAGTTTGTTTCGTCGAGGTGTTGCCAGGTGGTTAAACTAAAAGCCAATTTTGCGAGGCAAATTCCTTGATTCTCGCCAACGGCGACGTAGTCGCCGCAGAGTGAGATGAATTTGCGGCGGAGCGGTGCGTTTTATCTCTCGCGACAAAAATGCCATTACACGTAGGAGCGGACGATTTAACGATATTCAGGCGCGCCACGGCTCGCCGATTTTCCGCCGGTGGCCATCGGGACTCGTCGCTTTTTCCGAATCCCGAGAGCCTCATAATTTCGAATAACAGGAAAGTTCGACGACTATGAGGGAAAACTTCTCGCAATTCAATTTGCTCCTATCGGTTATCGGGACTTGGACGTGCGCGGAAACGTCGCTCAAACTCGAGAGACCGCGCGTCCCGGCGTAGTCGCTCGGGATATTTGTTTATTCGAACGTTCTATCAGGAATCTCCGTGATAGTTTCGAACAGCTCTTCTACCTTCGCGCTTCTTCCTTCGCTCCTGCCTGCGCGGAGGACGATGCTAATCTTTCGATTTGTCTCCTGCAAACTAGGATAGGTAATCGACTACCGTTTGCGCGAGAGTACATTCCGGTTCAAACTTTTACACTCCTCACAATGGCGAATCTTAAAAATTTGCACGAACTTTCCAGTTGGCAGTTAAATGCGTTACATCCATCTACATAAAATCTTCTCTCAGAAAATAAAAAGGAAAAATAAACTTGCGAGGCGTACTTTATAACATATCTTTAAATAAGTCTTGAACGTGGAATTTTATTTAAAATTTAACATTGTTCGGTGTGGATTTTAAATAAAGTTCCATTTATATCCGCTGCAATTTTCCGCTTTGTTTGAAGTTCTATATTTCTTTATTTCTATATTCCATATTAAACAGAGAAAAAAAAACATTGGTAAATTTAAAGTGGGGTTCGAAGCTCAAAGAATATTATTAGAAGCACAAGTCAGCACTCATGAAACTTGCGTCGAATTATGGATCTTTAACTCGGGATGTTATTTTGGAAAATCATTATGGACGTGTTTTTCAATTTATCGCGCGTCACGTGGAATTACAGATAGAATTTTCCCCCGAGATCTGTCGCGAATTATAAATCGTCTAAAAGTGAACTTGAACGAGAAAGCGACGTGCGATCCAATTTAGCGGAACGAGCGCGATTACGATGGCAATAATTAGGAATTAATGCCGGCTGCTTCCGATCGATATCGAGAGGTGCAACGCAGGAGAAGCGCAGCACATTTGCATTTAAAGCAGCCTGCTCCCATAGACATTGATATATTCCTGTCTATATCGTAGCTGAGATCGACTTTATTTATGGCCGTGAGAGGCGTATAGACGGCTTCGCACGCGCCTTCGAAGGGCGAGCGAAGGGGCAGAGGACGCGGCAGATCCTTTCTAATTTAAACTCGGAAACCTTATTTCGATGCAAAACCGCGGCCATCGCTCCGGCTTGTAAGAAGCCGGACCATACCGCAACCGCCGAAAGTGCGCTCGTTCCCGAGAACGTAACGACAGACTTAACGATCCTTCGCTTGTATAACCAAATGGGCCACTCGACTTAACAGCTGCGAGAATAACGAGCCTTTCGTTAGGCGTTAAAATTCTCACGATTCTTCCACAAATGACCACCATCTCCCTCCAAATCGAAAATCTCGGGGGGAAAAATATACCACTTTATATTTCACTCTTTTGTTACACCGCGAGGAACGGTAATTATACCGATTACTTTCTCTCCGAGAGATTAAAGTTCATCCTCCCTTCCGACTATTTTATTGACTTTCAAATTTTTCGCGTGAAAATTCGACAGTTCAATTTGAAAGTTTGATTGTGCAGAATTATATGAGCATACGTGTAAGCTGTACTGTAAATTATTTGTCATAATTATTATTACGTCGAGTAGTTATACATACGAAATATCGTATTTACTTACACGCACACGCGAACAGAGTCGAGTTCCTTGGCATGAGCACGGCCGACCAGAACTGTTGCTTCGCTACTTAAGCGACGCTTCATCGCGGCCGACTGCAAACGTCCATTTACTACTTACCGAGAGAGCACCGCGCGTCTGACCGTGTATCGTACGGCCCCCACACTATTTAATCATGACGAATCCATCAGGAACTACCGTGATTGTCCATTGACTGCGTGCCGGTCGGCCGCAGCGAACGAGCTCACATGGCGGATCGTTCACGATGTACGGGTACTTATTAGCGACGATCGAAGTTTAATGCGATTATCTGTTGATCTGCGGTTAACTGCTGAATGCTGATTGAAAGACTCGGCTTCGCCTCGTATTACCGATGAACCGTACGCGTAGTATCGCCGAGGGGATCATTATATGCGTGATATATTCGATTCTCTCGCGGACGCCCGGGAAAACGCGAGTCCGCCAAGGCATATCCTCGCTTTTCTCGCGAAACCGCCGAGGTGGATGTCGATTTTTATTCTCAGACGATTCTTGATCTGAAATTTTCCATGGCAAATGAAACGTATCTGCCGTTAAATTTTTGTTTTCATTTTATTTTTTATTTTAATACTCTTCACATTTCATTAGTTCTTTTATTTTATTAGTTGCTAAATTCGTTGTCTTCTTTTAATTTTGGTTATCTCTCGATAACGACGTTCTTGTGATTTTCGTCTGTTTCGAGATACGTCGAAAAGAAATATGCGATCTGCGATCTTTTTGTCGCCGACAATTCGCATTTCTGAGATTTCTCCGTATATTTTTTTATTATAATCAGTTATTAATTTAAAAACTGCTAGGTATTTTCCTCGAATATATTTAGTTGCAATTCCTTGAATGGAGTCCGTGAACAAAGAAAACGTTGGTAACCCATTCGTTACATCACTTACATTTCTTAAGACTCGAATCTCCGTTATCAAGGAAGTTTATAAATCGACGCGCGAACGCGCTCGCGAAATCAAGATTCGACCGTTCGCGCGTTCTGTAATCTTTGAAGCCCCACACATGTGACAGGAGAGCTTTAATATCCGAGTAGAATTTCTTCCAGGCTATCACGAAGAAAGTTCGTTTTAAACGTTACTCCGGGGAGGCATTCGCCCCTCGGAATACGCGGGCGCGCCCGAGGCGGAGAAATAAAAATTATCATCGTCATATGTGGATACCGTCGTGAAATGGCCTGTCGCACAAGCACTTCGTCTTTGCATTATTATTTCTTTTACTACACCAGGGCTGCTTTTATCACCGACCTTTCCGTAACACTTTATTTTCCGTAGACGACGTGATTTCAGCGTCGCACAATTTTCCCCGCTTTCTCTCTTTATCGGCATTTTGTTGCCGAGACAATACTTTCGAGACAAAAAATCCGATTAACGCATTATCAGTGTACCGCAATTTCTTTTTTAATCAATTTAAAAAGTAAGCCGATATATATATATTTTTTTTTCCTTCTGCGAATTTGCGATCTTTCTTAGAGCAATCATCCGCGAGTGTTTTCGCATCATTATTATCCTAGATCGTTTAAATAACATTTGAATAACGCCGCGATCACGTCCGTGGAACTTGCGATCGCAGTATAATTCTCGGATAACAAGAGCAATCGCAGGGGACAGTAGAAACAAACGTTACGCTGAAATCGTCACGAGCGCGTGAGCGGCATTTAAATATTCGAGCCGGGTCGAGCTGCGTCGCGCCGGGCCGAAGCTCGCGCGCCTCTTTCGCCCGCTTTTCTCTTGAAACTTAGTTCATAAACTGCAACGCGATTAACTAGCGCTATCAACGTGACCAGGGCTTGCCCATCCACCCGCTCGTCCACCCGAAGGGAACGGAAAGCGCGAGAAACAACGGCGACAGCGCAGCTATAATGCGCGAGCTCAACGTATTTCCCCGACGTCCAACTTCCCGCCAGGACGAACGGCGTCCGGAGGTGGGCGCATTTCTCTGCAACTTGGTAATTGGCTTAGGAGGGGACCTTCAACTCGCGAATTTCTCTCATGCAACTGCGCCACAACGCGCGTACCATACTCGAAACGGAAACTCTTGCGGTCCTGGAGCGTTAGTCGCCGAATAAAGATTGCGGGAATCGCAACGAACACTTGATAGATCCTCATAGATTCGTCCAGAGACAAGTGTCGCATCAAATACGCTATTATGCGAAAAAAAAAACGGTCCGACTTTTAGTCATCTTTTTGCGAGCTCCTTCTTTATTAATCTTGAGTATATCGACCTCAGTATATTTTCTTAAATAGGATATAATTGCTAACGAGCTACTGGCTCAGTACCGACTTTCGTAATTATTTCGTTTAGAATCAGCTCCAATGGCTTTGACCTTGAGATTTACTGTCAATGCCATTGCTGAATAACAAAGGTTCGAAACGATTTTCCGTCGCTTATTGTTTATTGCAACATTATAAATAAAAGAAGTTTTGTAAATAATACTTTTTCCGACATTTTATAGATTAAAAAATAAGCTGTAACGGCTAAAACATACACTAGATTACTTAAAACTATGATTTCAACAATATATGTCACGATCAAGGCCATTGGAGCTGACTCCTCTAAATTGAATAATTAACCCAATTTTTAACGAATAATACTAGATGTCAATGCCGATTTCATACTGGTGGAATATTGGAAGCAATGGGTCCAAGACTCGAAAGACAATACTGCAACTGTATCGATTCCCAGTGTGTATTTGGCCGATACCCACATGGGTCCTACCTCTAATTTATTCTTCAACAGGCACATTCAAGCAACAACAGCTATCTTTTCCGCGGTATTTTCTAATTCGTGAATGTTCAGCTTCGATTTCTGTCCCCCCAGTCGGCCGCTTTATTCGCGTTGTTTTTAATGTTTAAACCTCCCCGCCCTCTTCGTTGCAAAGGAAATAATTAATCTTCCATCGAGGATGGCGTAACGATGTTTCTCCGCGCCTCGGAGATCGATTCGAAGCACATCTTCGCCTGGAGATTCTTTGTGTAAAATTTTCGCAGCAGCCTCGCGTCGTAGAAGCTCTCGATATCGGCGATCCCGTAGTGAACGGCGGCCTCAGTTTTCGTCAGTAGCAGGGAATTCCACGGCGCCCACTCGAGCTCTCGGCGGAAGCGCGTCAGTCGCAGCTCGTCAAGGTCGTCGCATTCGGAAATACCGGACCGTCCGTGCCAAATCTCGTTCACCAGGCGGCAAACGACCCTAGTCCCGACCACGAAGGCCAGACTGCCGTAACAACCTGTCCTGGCCTCGCAGCGCCTGATCTCTCGCAGCATCCTCTCGTAAGGATCGTACACCATACGTGGTTCTCTCCGGGTTCGCATGGACGTGCAGTAGACACAAGAGGACGACCGCAGTCGTCGTTCCCGGGGAAATTTCTCCAAGGGCAGCAGCTTGCCGCAGGTCCTGCAGAGCCGCGTAATGCTTGCGTCCAACCAGCCGAACCGCGAATCCTCCTCGAGGTCCCCTGAGAGGGGTAAGGATGATTAATTAAACACTCAGGACCTATGGGGTGTATATTAGCTCAGTAGTGCAACAGATGTCGTTTCTCAATTAGATCCTGACTCGCAGGAAGTTACCGATCCCGATGTCCAGAAGCGACTAGACATAACTGCATTGTATTAATCACCGAGTTAACCAAATTATAAATAAGGTAATGACGTTTCATTTTGTGATACTGTAGCAACTTTCGGCCACTTGCGTAACCATTTTTTTCGAACAAGTGAACATCCTCACAGATATCACAGATATCGTTACGTTTTTTTTTTTCATATATAATCGATTACTGTTCAGCGCTCACTTTTCTTTATCTTGCTATTAATAGATTTATATCTCAAAATAATCTTTCATTCTTTGCCAATGGCCCTTTTTACACGTATCAACGTATTGAAGCAGAAGCTCGTTCCGTTTTTCTCATCGGCTCTTCGCTCAGAAATCCTCGAATTTCTACAAGTAAGACCATGCAGCTAGGAGAGATGACGGTTCATCGAACAAATCAGTGCATACTTAATTGACTGTATCTTAAAATAAATAAATGTTATATGTATATTTTGATTAGAAAACGGAGCGAATTTTTGCCTCGACCCAGTGTAATCACTTCGTCGGAAAAAGTAGCGCATGAAAATGCTTTGCCGTGCCGGAAGGGTTAAATAAAGACCTTGCAGTGCGTTTCGCGCCAATTTGAGGAAGCTCAGCTTTAGCCTGTTCCTCAGCCAGTTCAGTCTACCCGTGTCCACGCGGCAGGTTAGCAGCGCTAGCTCCTGGTCGACCAGATAAACGAGCTCGAGCGACTGGCTGCACGTATGCATGCCGACGAAGCGCTTGAGACCGCGCAGTAGATCAACGCGCTCCGGCACGGACAGGTTTTCGTTGGCCAACGAGGCGTACATGTTCCTGTGTTGACGAGCTCGTTGAACGCGCAGCGTGTCCACCAGGATCGGTCGGCCGCGGCTGTCCTGCCAGGCGACCGGTCTCGACAGCTCGTCCAAGAGCCTGCGTCGCTTCCGCTCCTTGTATTTCACGCGCACCGCGGTCCTCATAGAATCCATGGCGCGCAGCAGCTCGACTTCCTTCGACAGGATCAGACCGCATGCGGCGACCCTCGAGGAACCGAAGAGCGTGCGGCTCGCCCACTCGGTCTCGAAGATCCGCCAACGGTCCAGCAGATTCCGTAGCGACTCGAAGTCCGAGTTCGTCCGCGGCGACCTGCGATCCAGTATCGTGAACTCGGCGCATCCGCTCAGCGCCTGCGAAGATCCCGTCGCCTCCGTCTCGTCCCGGGAAACGTCCTTTCCGCGGAAACTGGTCCCTTTGTCCGTCACTTTGGCTCGATGAGCTCTACGGTCAGGGGATCTATTATGGAATCATTGGTAACGGTTTTCGCTTCAAATTGTTCCGTTTCTCTCTTATCATGGATGTTCGAGACGACATTTAACGCTTATCGCAAAATCGTGCCCTTCACAAATCCGAAACCTCGAAGTAGTTCAACATCGAAGCGGTATTTCCAAATGACTCGCGACAAAATCCATGTTACCTGTAACACCTCTGTATTTTGACGACATTGCCGAGAAGCGTCTCGTCGTTGTCCCGAGAAGCCGTCGACTCTGTTTCTCCGGTTGGCACGGTAGCGAAGTAAGAAACCGCGACGACTCGGTCACGCGCGTCCGGTAAGAAGTGCACCTGCACCGCCTGGTCGTGAACGACCTCGGTGATCGCGTCCGCGACCGCGACAGTCTGCGTAACCCCATTGCTTCTCGTTCTGCCGTGTGTCTGTGTGCAGGCATTGTGATAGATCAGGCCGGTGAGCGTGTCCCTCCACCCGCCGAGGAACGGTTTCGTCGTCCTTGGACAATGGTCCTGTGTCGTCGCGACGACCGCCATGACGCGGCTACCCCATGGGATTCAACCGCCTGCGCTTACAAGGAAAAGGTTTCAGCAAGGGGCTCGGGAAAGCCGGTAAATGAAACGATAATATCCGCACGCCGCGATAACGAATAGATCGCACGTCGCACCGGGCGGAAATGCAAAATGGAAAAATATCAGGACTGTCACACTCGTGCATACACACATACACACACACGTGCCAAGTGTTCTGTTTGAAGTATTTGAGTTGAGTCATAGAATGACGTCGTAAGACGAGTATTTTCCGTTTGCAACGTGTCGCGTTAAAGGGGAATCATTCTCGCGAAAAATCTGAAGTCCCACGGCTCTGCGACGACGTTCCTCGATTCAGAGCCAGCGCAATGTAGCAACACTTTCATGTGTTCGCATATTTTTATCTCGAAATTTCATCGAGCCGGAGCGAAGTGAAATCACGAAATTAGCTCTTCATACGGAAAACGCGAAGAACGCCGTTCAAACTATTCCAGGCAACTTTATTTCATTTCTCAGAAAATTACCTGAAGATTGCGGCGCGCTTTGTAACCCCGCGAAACACTTTTCTATATTTCCCGACGGACATTCGCGTGAGGGAGGAGGGGGGTGCGACATTTTGCAGATAGAAAATAATTTATACACCGAGAATATTGTGCAACGACACAAGTTCACCCATTACGCGTGCAAAGCTCGCTAGTTGACTTACCAGTGGCAGTTTCTTTTTATGACCGTTACTGTAGATTACTTTTGCTTTATTATGCTTGCGAAACCTGCACCGAACCCCGGAAAGGAAATGTTGATGAGGCGTCGGGAAATTTTTGAGATAATTAGGAACACGACCGCCGCGCTATTTTCTCGATATTTGAGCTCTTCCGCACGCGATTTTCCTCCCTTCGCATACATTACGTACATAAAACGCAGGCCGAACCTCTCCCGATCATCCTCCCCGTGTATTTTCAGACTCGGTATACCATTTTCTTCAGAGGGGAGGGGGAAAATAATTAACCCCTTCGCGCCCGTGCACGCGCGTGCTTTCAGAAAAAACCGCCTCGAGCCCTTTGCGCAACGACCGATTCAATTGTATTGCCCACGGAGGAACGCGCGCGAGGTGGGAACGGCTATTTCGCGATGCTCTATTTTCTCGGGCGTTGCTTGTAACCGCCCCGCGATCCTTTATCTTCAGCATTGCCACCACCGTGACGCAGTGGCCCCCATCCCGCGGGACTTAAGCGCCTACATCCATAGACGAGAAAAAACTCCGCCGGTCGCAGGTCGAGAAAGCGGAAGGATAACTGCCGCGACGACCTGCCTGGGATAACGGTAATACCGGCAGTAAAGGAAATTACTATTCTCTCGGTTTAAAGGATCCGACAGCGAGCTGCGGTGGAAACTGCGCCCCGGCCCAACGCTTTGCGCTTTCGCGCAAGCTCGCCGGTGTCGCCGAGGATATTGGTGTGCGCTCGCGCCTCGCCGACTCCAGCGAGCTAACGGGAGATCTCCGCGTCTCCGACATACGTTCCGATAACTTTAACATTTTCAGGGATGAATTTATTAGAGGTGAAAGTGGAGTATTTGCCCAACGATGCGTGATATTTACGCATTTTCCAACGCAATCAGCAAGGATTTTTATTGATATATTTACACCGTAGGGAGGGAAACATGATCCTCCGTGAAACTGCACAAGTGATAGAGCGACGTGTATTTTACGGTCAAAACGAAAGCGTTTATCGGAATCCCACATATCGCGACTTCGCTTTTTGACCTCGCGTGTTAACCGCCGAATCCATTGGCTTCTCGCTGACCTATTATTCCGCAAACACACGGATTTATAGATCCATGGCCTCGCGGAGCTCCAGCTCACTGGACGTTTGGATTTATGGGCTGCTTATTTCGCGGATTCTTCGCATCACGGCATCTCGGATTTGTAGATCTCTGATCCCCGAGAACCTCTTCTCCCACCTAACGAATTTATTTCTCTCTTTCTCTCTCTTTCCCTCTCTTTCTTTCTCACGGATTACAAATTAACTACACGTCTTGGATGACGCGCGTCTCTGAACTTAACGCGATGAAAACTCGAGCTTCTTACGAGACGTCGCCGCGTATACTATCGTAATGACGAACGTGAGATATACTTTTCGGTGAAGGAACCCCGCGATATGAAGAATCTCGGGATGCACAATTTATATAATCACGTTTTATCTGAATCCTTTCCGCCGTTTTCTCCGCGACGAAACAAGGAAATACTCTCAGAAAGCTCGACGAGGCCGGCTAGTCAACGAAGGAAGTGGGCTTGAAAGAAGCAACTTTCATCGAACAATGCCTCCGGCAAGCTGCACGGCGACATTTCGCGGACAATAATTATGAAAGATGTTAATTCCAGACTAAGGGTGCGCGCAGGGACGAGGAAGGGGACGGGAGAACGAAAGAGAAGGTAGGTTCACGAAACAACGCAGACACGAGCCCGCGTCGACAGGAGACCATCCCCCGTCGGAAAGCTCTACCCCTGGCGACGTCGCGGCACGATACACTTTTCCATGTATTGTGAATTACACACGAGAAAATTCTGGAACGAGACGAAGGGCGAGGTGTTGCTAAGAGACGGCACGCCGCGCGACGAAACTTTTCGCGCCAGAGAGAAACCGAGAGGAAGGAAGGAAGGAAGGAAGGAAGGAAGGAAGGACGGACGGACGGAAGGAAGGAAGGAAGGAAGGACGCGTTATATTTATGCAAAGGGAAGAATATCGGGGAAGGCAGAGCGGGAGGGGAGAAGGGAAAGGTTTTAAGTTAGATATAAACGGTCCGAAAGTTCGTCCCCGACTCACCCTTCTTTGCCTTGTCGCTGGAAGTTACCGAGCGCTGTCGCGCGGTATAATTCGCCGGTAGACTCCGCGACAAATATGAGTAAGACGAAGAGATTAATGATCACGATAAACGAACGAGCCGAACAATCGTCAGGCGAGAGATACAAATTGCTCGGAAGTATTGCCCGCCTCTTGGAAATGGAATTCGCGTTAGTTCTATTATGATGTCTTTTTATACCGGACAGTTTTAGCGACAAGAGTTCCCGCTATGTGAGTTCCCGAATTGATGGGTTATCCTTCCGCTTTTCGGCTTTCTTCGGATCGGATATAAAAGTCCTCGAGTTACTTCGACTTGTCTCAGTCTGATGTTACAATTAAAAAAATCCGCTTGTTTATGACACTTAATTTTGTCAAACTTATATTTACACGGGCTTTGTAGTTGATTATAGGGGTTATATTATTCGACATGTTCGAATATTCGAATATCGGAATGTTGGAATTTTCTCGCTTCAAAGTCTCATTATTCGAATATAATTTGTCGAAGGTTCAGAAATTCGAAGCTTCGGGAAGCTAAAGTTTTTAATATAATTTTTAGTTCCAGTTAACCACGAAGAGATAGAACGGGTCGTTAAGAACCTAATTGCGGCTTAATGAAATAACTTAATTTTTAATTAAAATTTAATTTTCCCAAGCGAACTATAAATTTGCCAAGCCAACCGGTTGCATTTTTTCCGTGTAATTCTGTGACTTCCGCCTCCGAAAAAAAATCTGGGGGATACAGAACGCTAAGAATGGCGGGCGGGGAAAGAGTTCGTCGAAGTACACGGAGTCCCGAATTTTGCGAAGTACAAGTGGCGGAAGCCTCCCAGCGTGTAATCGACGGTACGGAAAATAGCCTCGGGTCGCAAAAGTTAATGTTCCTTCGACAATCCAGCCCCGACCACGGGTTACCTCTACATCAGGGCTTCAAGAAATAATAATAAATGAATCTAGCGTTTTACGCGTGCGCAATAACGCGTAATAACACGTCAACATGATGACACAAATGCGACGGCGAAATGAACGAATAAACAAACAACGATCGATCGCGCCGTTCACGAATGATTTAACCGACGACCCCGATGCGAACGAGATTTTATCGAAACAGCGCGGGGCTACAAAGGAAATAATGCAAAAACTACGAATGGAAAGGAGGAGAACGCATTTGCGTTTCTTTTTTCTTTTTCTTTTTTGCAATACGCACACGCACGCGCAACGTCCTTGATTGGACGCTCGAAAAGTACGAGAACATCGATGATGATGGGAAAGCCGAGTATTACGAGCGATCGTCGAATTTAATTGCCGCACGGCGCAATTATTCGAGCGCATAAATATTGATGCGTCATATTTTCTCCGATACAGCCGCGGCACTCATTATCACGGGGAACGTCCGACGGACTCTTCGGTGGATTTTTTTTTTTAACAAAATAACTGGGAACTGCACTAATGGGATAGAAGCTCGCGAGACGTTTTGTGGAAGCTTACCGTAAAGGGTCCGTAGCGTTTTGTCGCCGTGCTATTGTCACGAGCACACTTCATAGTTTTCATCGAAAATTCCTCATAACGTGTCTTTTTCTCCCTCTCTTCCTCTCTCTAACTTCCAGGACGTCTCTGCAACAGCTTCGTAATTTCAACGCAACCTTGACGACTAGCTTACAAGAATCGCCCACCGCGATTAAGCGAAGAAACACTAGGATCGCGACTGCATTTTACGAAAGATTGAGCAATCGTCGGTTTCGTCCGGATCGCATCTACGTAGAAAGTGTCTCCTCTGCGTCGAACCTCAATGCTCGCTCAATGATCCGACGGGAAACGACGAAGTCGATCGGCGAAGTGCGGCTTTTAATGCGGAAACCTGGCCACCTCGGCGGACGAGACTGCGGTATCTGAAAGCTCAAGGCTTTGAATACAACGTTGCCAGCGGCAACGTGCTTGGTCGATCGGTCAAAAGCCCCTTCTTGTCCATTATTTTTCGATTTTGCATTCCTCGGCTCAAAAGCCGTGCCCGTATATATGTACGTACGACGGGTATGGATTCAACCACGACGGGCATTATGCGCCCCGGGGGCCGAAAATTTTCCACTGCATTCGTGCATCTCCGCCGCTTTCCACCAAATCCGCAGAGCGGTCGGAGTCAAGCACGCGCCTTAAAGCTCAAAAGTGCACAGTGCGTTATACTCAATACGTTCTCGATATGTGAATCCCCGTGGCATTCGTGTGCTTTTCTCGTGTTCCGCTGAAAAAAGAAACGTATATACGAGCATACAGAGTCGGGTCGGCGGAGAGGTCGTCGCAACGCCTCTCTTCTCGATAGATCTCGGAACGGGTGAAATCGTGAAAACGATCGCGCGATTTCCGTGCATACCAATGCTCGTTGAAATAAAAAACGGGAAGTATGTCGCGACCATTTTGCCGCCAACACAGGTGCGTATCGTGTATACTTTTAATTGTGAGTTCTCTCGTAAACTGCTGGAATACTCCATTTCCTTAAAAATATTTATACTTTCTCAATCTCCTTCACTAGAGTGGAGTAAATCTTTAAACAACACTATTTGATGTCTTCCATGGAAACCCTGGAGCTTTTATCTAAGAATTTTTTTGCCCACCCGCTTCTTACCAAGAAACTCGCGTGATGAATTTCGAATGGAACACCCTGTATACATAAATATTTTTAAATCAAGCAGAATTAAGTTAAATGACGATTAAAATTTATTCGACGGCGAATTTAATTTAAGTATAACGAGCGAATTTAAATACGCGGACGTGAGATCTCTCGAGACTTCGTTTCTGTTCTTTTTCCTTTTGTCTCCTTGCTGTTTTCCCTTTTTTTTTTTTTTATTTCCGTCGTAACGAACCGCGTCGAACGTAAATCAGTTCGGATTATCCGCCCTTCTCGCGACCAATTAAGAACAACACGGCCGATATTTGCAATGCAAGTATAAGCCGCAATCGCGTTTACGGCGACAGAGCGATACGGTAGGAACGAATAGCAGCGAATACCGACTCCGTGAAACGGCCAACAATTTATATCCCGTTACGCAATAGCCTCCGTGGCAAAAACCGTCCGCCGCCGCCGCCAACATTCTCGGTGTATCTCCATGTTCCTTATGTAAAATGTTTTCACTATCGTCGCTCTCGCATCCGCGCAATATCGCCCAAGGCACCTCGAAGCAACGTTGCGTGCACACCGGCCGTAAAACCCACTTCGCTATTTCTCTGGGGACCGAAACAATACGTATCGACGATCCCGAAAAATTCATACACTTTTCAATAGTAAAGATATACACTCAGTCTCGTGCTCGTAACTTCCAAGCGCGCGTATCACGCGCCTAATCGAGCGTAATACCGCCGGAATCTATCTATCTCGTCGGTGCTCTCCCTACTGACGAGATAATAGATCGCAATTCCTTTCCACCAACAGTATGAATAATATATAGGGCGAGGCAGTAACTATTAGCATCTTGAAAAACCTTCGAAATATGAGAATAGGATAAAAAAATGTATCTAAGGGGTTAGTCAATAGTTACTATGAGAGGAGAGGATCTATTAGCTTGCGTGACGGTTTATGATAGTGGGGGTAAGAGGAGGGGGGAGGGAATAAAGGCCACGGAACGTCACATTAGATGACGTAACTTGTAAATATGGATGCGTGTGTTTATTCATTTTGTTCGCATTCGTGACATATTAGGTTACATTTGGTGAATATTTTTTTTTTTATTTTGACATGGTTTTGTGTTAATCTTCGAAATGTTAATTTTTAATATTTATTCTTTTAAAAGCACAACTTTTACTAGTCAAAATTAATAAATAAAGTGATATAAGGGAGAGGGAGAGGGGTTAAAAAATTCTCAAATTTAATGTGACGTAATTGTTGAATGGCTCTCAACTGATATTGCATTGGCATCAATAGTCATTATTTCGAGCACTTTCAATAAAAATATACATTCTTTTCATCTTCACCTGAATCTAAAAACGCATCCTCCCACAATTGGGGACAGTCGCTGTTCGTATTGGTTCACCATTGTTTACCGCCTATTGTCGATAACGGAAGACCAATGGACTGTCCAATTTCCCGCATAATTAAAACGCATGATCCGATTTGATCGCTTAATGCACTCGAAATTAGTTTCGGCAAAGTGGTCGGCACAATATTACGCTAATACTACTGCATCTCATTTACAAGATGTACGATAGATTTTTGTATTATCTACTTACGTGCGTACCACGTGAACATTTCGTACATTTTATCAAAACAGGGGAGAGAAAAAGTGCTAAAAAAGAATATCTCTTTTTGTTGCAGACGAGACGAAATCGCGAAGCTTCAACTTTGCTCTCCAAGAGCGGGTTGCAGCGACAAAATTTCTTAAACAGAAAAAAGATGTTAAATTCAAATAAATAATTACTCCAATACTCCTTAGCAAATTTTTATTTTTCAAGTAATATTTATTTGATTCAAGTAAAAATTTGCCTGGGAATATATGGAATAATTATTTACTCGAATACTTTTATATGTTTGAATAGTGCTTTTTTTCTATGTATAAATCTCCAGAAACGCCGCAGTGATACTTTTTAAATCTGAATCTAAGCCGGTCACTGCTGATCTTAAAACAAATTTAAAATCCGGAAGGATCCACCGTGAAGTTTCTTGAACTTCACAAAAAATCTCGAGTAACGTGAATTACGGCACGCGCCCGGGGCGCGTGCGGAGCGTTAAGGGTTAATTCGCTAATTCCATGTAACTTACGAGAGAAACTGTAATTCCGGCGACCTCCAAGTTGACCGCAATACGCTTGCAAAACCGCATCAAATTTTTCAACGACTTTCATTCGGTTTAGTTTATTTCGGTCTTTCCCTCATCTCCACACCGTGCCGTATACAGGACGCGCACCGCACATTTTACTCGGGCAATATTTGTACGAGCGAAATACAGCGAAACTCGATTGCAACGCGAAAGAATAAAATTTGTATGTAACGAAAGTTTATTGAATCTCCGACCAATAGCCACATCGATATATAATTCGTAATAGCGACCGTTCGATAGCGTCGACCTCAAATTGATCGGAAAGTTCATTACGCGGATATTTGATCGTAGGATTCATATTCGAAACGCGACGCAATGAAATCCCTTGTCACAGCTCGTAATTTTGAGATGCGTCGTAACTCGCCGCAGTCGAGGGTGGTTTGTACCATGGCCTGCCACCTTAAATCGCACGGAAGCGACCAGATTCCCGGAAATCTTTCTCGAAGCTGATTAATTGTCTGAGAACATCAATAAAACAAGGTCAATAAAATGAAATTGGAGAATACGCCGATATTTCGGACGTGAATCTCAAGAGTAAGGATGAAAATGATCGAATCTGACGGTAACTTATTCGGTAAATTATAATAAATTATCCGGTAATTTTGGGAACATGGTAAAATGATAATTTAGAAACGAATTAAAGAAATAAAAAAAATTTTATGCGAAACTCAAAAGGAGTATTCAGCCTTTAAGATGAATGAAACACTTTATTTAACTCATATTTTAATACTATATATTGATATACTATACATAGCATATAATATTTAGAAAATTAGGTTTTAAGGAAAAAAACCTCGCATGAGAATGCGCACATAATAGTTAATCAACTTACGATTTTCACGGAAAAACAACAAATTGATTGACTATCACTATATGTTTCTCAAACTGATTTCTAGCACGCAAGGCTTAAAATTACCTTATTATTATCATAAAATTTACCTTATTATTATCATTATTATTTATACATGAAATTATAAAAAATAACGAATTTTATCAAAATTACCAGTAAATTACCATCATATCGTAATTTTACCGTAAGTAACCGTCATTTTGAATCTGACAGTAATTTATATCTTCACTCAAGAGTATTCGAAATTTTCTACGTCGTTTGCGAAAAACGTAAAAATGGAATAAAAGCATAGTTATTATTCGCATACTTGAAATGATTCTTCGCGATCTGATGTGCCAAGCCAATCTGATTAATCAGGTGTCCCGAGTATACAGTGGCGGGATTTTTCATATGAGAATGCACGTCGGCTTCATCCTCTGTCAAAAGGATACAATTCCAAGGCGCCCATTCATCATCCATTCGATATCTGACCAATCTCAGAAAAAAGACGTCCGTAACTTTGCTGACCACTGACTGACCATGCCAGATATGATTAACCAGATGATAAATATCGTGTCCTTGCATCATAAACGCTAGAGCGGAATTACTGCACCGTCGTATCTCGTCGGCCCGCACACAGTCCAATATGAACATGTAGGGATCGTAATCCACGTGTGCGATGTTTTGTCGACGTAAAGAATCGCAGCCTTGAAGCAAGAGAAAAGAGAAAGAAGGATGCTCGACTAATTATATTAATTCACGGACACTCGGTAGCTGATCGATCAAAATTTACGAGGTTTTGTTGATCGAAAGAACCGCGTTCGTTGAAGAGAGATGTATTAATTAATTAACTTTTGCAAGGTTTAAGACGTTGAAGAGAGATGTATTAATTAATTAACTTTTAGAAGGTTAATGAAAAGTAATACGGAGTCCATTAGACGCACTCTTTCTTATGCATCGATTATACATCGGTGAGGAGAATGATATAAAGTACGGTATCTATATTGCTGTCACTTACTGATGCAGACCGATAGCTTCCTCGTTCTACTGTGCGGTAAGAATCTGCGGTTGGGAAGTAGTTTTAAACAACTTCGGCAGAATTTTGTTTTTGTTTCTAGAGGCACCCGCAATTCATCGTCTTTAGAATTTCCGCCGACAGCTTCGCAGCCGCAGCTACCGTGCATGCTCGTAAAATTCAAGTAAGTATCTACAATAGAGATAGGTGCATTTATTACATCGCTACTAAAACAAGTATGGTCGTAGACGTGATGAAATATTTTAGCATGTATCTTACAACCCAACGAGATCGAAGAAACTTTGAATAACTTAAAAAAAATTGTTAAGTATAGTTTCTAAAAAAAATCTCTTTAAACCTCGAGAGAAATCTTTATATATTGGAAATTGATGCAAAAGCTCATTTCGTTTTTACAATCAATTCTTCACTAAGAAATCTCAGAATTTCTATGGGACCATGCTACCGGAGACATGACAAGTTATCGGACAAATTAATTAATCGATTATATTTTAAAATAAATAAATGTTACATGTTTATTTTTATTAAAAAGTCAGATGAATTTTCGCATCAATTCAATGGAATAAAATTTATAAATAAATTGCGTCTCTCCTTAATTTTTCTTAAATTACATTAGTCACAAAATCATTTACAGGCACTGAAAATTTTACATATATTCATAAATAATTAAACGCTAGTAATCGTCATAAAAGAAATTTCAATGTTAACGCCAATTGTCTTTCCATTTTCATATTTTTTTTATCACTCTTTTATTCGCTACGAAGAGCAACGTTATTTTAGGACATCAACGTATCGTCTTACGCGTTATCCTGTCGTTTAGACAGCCGAGCGATAAGTCCTTAATTCCTCGAGTCAACAAAGCGATCTCTTGATCCAACAGAGACGATAGATCGAAAGCCTCCATACAACTGTGCGCTTCGATGGACTTCCTCAACATTATCAATGACGCCATTCGCTCGTCCGGTCTGACACTACGATCGCTCAATACATCGTACAGTCTTTTGAATTCCCGAGCCTTTAGAGTTTTCATGGTGATCATCTCAACAGATATACCCTTGTAACTGTTCCAGCGTATCGGCTTGCAGTTAAGTGTTAGGAATCTGAGAACCCTCTGTCTTTTGTGCGAACTCCTGATCGCTTGTTTATGCTTATCGATGCAGTTTAACATCTTCACCATCTTCTCCACAATACTGTAATTCTCAGCACGCTGTGCGGCCTTGAACAATCGTAACTTTATGTCCTCGAGACGGTCGGACCTCCATCTCTCGATCACATTGTGGAGCATGTCGAAGTCCGCCCTCGATCGCGGATGTACTTGTCGAAGAATGTTCTGTTTATGTCGCATTCTGTAAGAAAGAATGGCACACGCAAAGTGCGGTTTTACGACGACGCGTACGAGGCATTCCCGGTGAAACCACTCGATTATCATCGCCAGTGTTGCGCACAGAGCGTATTATGAGGGGAAGGACACTTTTTTATGTGCGGAAAAATTGGCTCTGTACCGTCCCCGAAGAGAAGCACGGAGAGCCCTTCGTAAAATATATTTTTCTACCCTAGCACTTTTTCAAGTTATATCCACCACGAAAGGGTATTCCCGATTCGTATACCATTCCCTTCGCACGGGGTGAATGCCCCTCAACAAAGATACCAAGGTGTTACCTTGTAAATGACCTGAAATCTGAAAGTTCTCGCGAGTAAGCTTCAGAAATATAAAAAATGCACGACAAATATTTATCTCTCGTTTAATTTCTGCTAAATTTTTACGAAACATTAATTTTAGGTTTCATCGCAAAGGGGTTTAGTAAGTCTAATTTTTATTAGTAAGAGATTTGGAAACGTCCCTCGACGATTTTGGCAAATCTCTGATATATTATAGAAAAACCAATTTAAGAAAGACGTATATTTTTGTAGATGCTATCTTGTATATTTAGAGGAATTGAAAATTTTCGAAAATTAATTTCATATATAATTTCATAAATTCTTAAGGATTTTTATGAAAAACTTAAAATCGACACCCTTAAAGTCAAAAAAATGTTCCGTACATCGATGAATAAAATTATACCCAATTATAAGAGTATCAGTTTTGAACCCTTTGCAAAAATTCCTACAAACTCATCGAACAATCCAATATTTCATTACGATCGAATATCTTTGGAGCAATGATTTTTATGTTTAACATATTTTAAGAAAAATCGAATCAGCATATTTATGACAGTTACCTTATTAGTTTCTAAAAAAGAAAAAATGATTGATATCGACTGAATTACTTGTTTATGATAGCTTTCTCTTGCTCGCGTTTTTCACATTTCTCGAGCATGTCGCGATAGATCTGCGCGCATTCCCTAATGTACTTCCTCAGCCGGTACGCTCGATAATTCCTCTGAATTACACGCGCATGTCCATCTAAATTAAGCCGCAGTTGCATTTCGTCGTAGTTCTCATATGACTTCACTGTCATGTATTTATCCGTCTGGCTCGATATGTAACAGTCGTTTCTAAATCGGCAGAGTGAGACTATCTCAATCGCGCAATACATTTCTCTTTGCAATAAGCAAATATAATAGATAGTATATATATTATATTTGCCTCCGGCAAATATAAAATATATAATATATACAAATAATATTAAGACTATTTGCAAAATTTTTCGCATTTCTATCCCCCGAGATTTCGATATATAATTATTTAATGCAGCGTGTTTCTTCGGCAAATAACACCCACAGGTAAAATGTTATTTGCTTACGACGAGTGCCGCAAAGTCCCTTATAAAAATATCGTACCGCCACATTTGCGTCGCACGATGGCATAATGTTTGTGTTGCTCCTTCCTTCGTTTTTATACATTGAACCATCCTGCTACATGTGCTCCTTGACGGCGACTGTTTTCGCAAAGGCCTGGTCTGGGAAGCTGCGTTTAAGTATTCTACTCCAGTAACCTTGTGCCTCCATCCTCCCAAATAGGGCTTGAATTGTTTTTCCATTTCAACCGATCAGGTAATCTAAAAAAACATGCTGGTTTTTCCAAATAATGTTTTAGGCTATATAAAAATACATCTGTTCTCATGTCAATAAACGTGATAGAAAATGGAAGTTGAATTATGGCGTGATCTGTTCATTGTTTTTATATTTGTAAGAAATGAAACATCTTCAAGATGGTCCAAATGGATTGGAAGCAAAAAAAACATCAGGAATAAACGCGAGGAATATTTTTCAACATCGTTATAAAACCGCAAATAATTGGGGCTAAGGTGAGGCGAGAAAAATGTCATCACACTTGAGATTTCGTCATTTTCTGTTTTGCATAATTTATTTACAACTCACATCAACTTTTAACTCTTAAGAATAACACATTCATCCGTAATATTCATCTTAGATGTCTCTCTCGAGAGACACGGTATGTCGTAATCTATATACAAAGTATCGTTTCCTTCCAACGTACAAATTTACAGGTAGAATAGCGCGGCAAATGCATTTATCGACCTTAAGTTTTAGAGTTGTGCCCGAACGGTGGAAGGAAACATGGAACGAGGAGATCATTTAGATGCATGAGACACGAAAATAAAAAGTTGAATAAAAGAGAGATGCTTTCCGCACAGATGAAACTAAAATAAATAATAATGTCCTTTATATTGTGGGTGAGATACAAGATATGTAATTTAAGTTATTTTGATCAGCGGAAAGTGTCGATGACAAGAAAAATCAAAGGCCGGTGGTTCTTTGGAATCCCTCTTGTGCCCGTCTGCCAGTAGCTTTAAAACCACAAAATTCGTCTTGGCTACTTTCAACAAACTGTTGATCTGCAAGTGGAAAAAATTGAACTTCTTAAACATTCAACAGATAATTTCAGTAACATTCTAAATAATATATTTTCACAAACGCCACAACGTATCTTTTACAGAAACACGCGTTAGGGGTTTCCGTGAACTTACTTCATCTTCAATTAAACTATTCGCTGGGTACAACAGTAAAGCGCGTTCTAACATATTCCTAGCTTGATGGAAATGTCGACAACCGGCGACATATTGCATTTCACTGGTGACTTTCTCCTAAAAAGGAAAGAAAAGTTGCAAGTTTACAAACCATTCATCGTTCGAACAGACATGAAATTACTGAAGAATTCAACTCACATTTCTCTTGTGCATTTGAGCATTTGTCATGTCTAAAAATTCTTGATAATGAACAGGCGGTGGTGTCAACAGAGAGGAGAACGGCAATAATCTATGCTCGTATCTCACTCTCTCGGAATCGAACTGCATCTCGGGAAGCGGAATTTTCCCGTCCATACGGAAACCAACCAAAGCCTGAAAATTTCGCGAAGTTCATATTAGGTACGTGTTAGGTTAGTATGAAAGATCGGTCGTTTTTATATTAATTTCTGATACGTGGGAAATTATTGTATATCTTCGAACGTGATGTGGTGAAATATACTTCGGGCAATTTGTGTACGTACTTTATAATAGCCACCACATATATTCTGCATCGCCTGGTACATCAATATTTCCAAATTGTACGGCCTCGGTGTTGACTTCTTCTTCTTGTTCTTCGAGCTCTTTTTGCCGCCTCTACCCTTATGCGTATCATTGTGAACATCCTGCTCCATCAAGAACGTATCAGCTCGCGTAATCGCGGACACAAGCCAACCGTATAGAAATTCATACAGGTACCAGAAGATGTAATGATACTCGTGCACCGAATATAACTCTAGCTCGAAGCCACTCAGAAGATACATAACCATCACGCGTAACGTGTGGTACAAAATCCAAGTGCCGAAACACGCCAAGTGAGGCCTTGGCGTGTCGCTCTTCATAGATAGAGTGTGCAAATATCCATCGACTCTCTCCGCCTATAAAATACGTATAAATATATTTGAAAAAAAAAAAGAAAAGCACAATGAAGAATATCACAGTGAGAAATATACAGAGATAAAAGAAAAACAAAAGAAACGGAATTTCTACTTCGTCTTGCAGCGTCGCGAAGTCTTCCAACAAATGCGCCAATTTGTCTCTCTGTCTTGCCCTGTTGTGTCCACTGAGCTGCAACAGGCTGCCGAACAGGCTGACGCAATGCGACAGGAAACTGTCGACGTATTCCTTAGCCTGGTGATTTTGCAACAACGTACTCTTCGGCATTAGCACGGGCGGCGCGATGAAGTTCCGCGCCGCGTCTCTCAATACATCGGCAAAATTGTGCACACCGAATACGCGGTTAGTGGTCGGCAAGTAAACGATTTGCAGCATAGACCTAGATAATATGCACGGACTCTGACGCGAGAATTCTAAGAAAAAGTCCTAAAAGAAAATTTCGTTTACTTCCCATGTGAATGTCGCACCGACACTAAGAACAACGCTGGAATCTCGCACTCACCAGGGCCGCGTGGAACCCGACGTGATTCGTGATCTTGATGACCATTTTGAATCGGTTTATCAGTTCGATTAAATATTCCAGAACATCTATTCTCGGCTTGATTTTAGTGTAACGGGGAAACGTCGGTGGCAACAATCTCTGATTCACCATTGGATCGAAGCCCATGATATTTGGGTGATTAGCTGTAATTAAGGACGACGAATAAATTTGCACAAATTCTACCGCAGAAACGAGAAAGAATATGCGAATGTTCATTCGCGTAAAACATTTTCCAGGTATACTTACAAATTTCGTCGGCTTTCTCTCCATGTGTCACTGTTAAAATCATGATCTGCAGCATATCGGAACAATTTGACAGTAATCTCTGACAATCGCTCAAATTCTGTTGCAACTGCTGCTTCCGGCCCATTAACGTTAGCACTTGATAAAACATCTTAGTAAATCGGATTCTCGCGTAAAGTGCTATTCCATTGTTATACTGCAAGTAAATATTACCAACTGTACAAGCAAATACAACGAAAATGTGTTACATCTTGAAAAGATTGACGCGAACGTTTTGTCGTTAAATTTGAGGAAAAATAAATCATGAAAAGATTTACCTCTTTTTCAGATTCTACATCGACAAGTCTTATCCTACTTTTTCGGTGTAGCTCCTCCTCCACTTCTCTCAGCATAGATATTATTTTCTGTTCTGTAATATCTTGCTGCAATCTGTAGCCATAGGTGACACTTTGAAAGTCCTCTTCCTCGAATACCAAAGCCTTATTAATGCAGTCTTTGATTATCTCAATTATCTTGTACACTGCATAACAGAAGGTCTTCAAAGGTTTGTCTAGTATTTGTCCGGGCTGATGCAGATACAAGTTTGTAAATACAGTCTGTGCTAGACTGTGACCTTCCAACCAAGACACTATGCATGCATATGTGGAGTCTATTATCCCAATGATTTCAGAAGGTGTAAAGTTGTCCAATTTAATCGCACCCGAGTCGACTGCCTGGGTGAAAGTACAAGGTTTGTTGTTTCCTCTGTTACACAACATGCCAGCGTCCATCTTTGGATCCATCATCTCAATGGCAGACATGGCCTCGAATAATCCAAATAGCTCATCGTGTAACAATTCTCCCAATTCCAAGTCTAGATGCAAAATATAGAGAAACATGCTTACAGATATAAAACAATAATTAATAACATTAATTAATCAAATATAATGATATATTATAATAAGAATTATGTATAAGAAAATATTTTTTCACAATTTATTCTAATTTACTGTGACATACATAACTTTGTCCGTATCATTTCATAGTATGTCTCTAAAATCAATCTTAATAACAAAATTAAAAAAGAATATTGTTCTTAATTTTCATAAAATATGTATCTATTGATGCTGAGAAATTTTATATGAATACTTCCAGAGATTTTCAATTTTAATCACAGTAGCTTCTTGAATTATTCTCATTAAATTATTCCATGAATTCCTTTACAATTACAGTTCAAAAAAGAAATAAACTTCGGAAATTCAAAAAGAAGGAATATTTAAAGAAAGAAGATAACGTGGAATGAAAAACAAAGGGCAACGATCGACGTATCGATCGATCCAATACCTGTGATAGCCTCGAAGAACTCTTGCGTGATATCCACCCAATTATGCGTGACCTGATCGAATCTGCAAAGCAAACGACACGGGATGAATTAAAAAATACCGCCCTACGAAAACCGGGAACGATCAAGGCGATTTAGGTTAAATCGCAAAGATTGTTGCGACGGAACAGCAGGGTCGCGACGAATCGTCGCGTCCGTCGTTCACGGGTGATTCATGAGCGAAGCTCACGTCGTGCTTCGCATTCGCGGGAAAACTTACGCCGAATCCTTATCTTCGTTCATATCAATCGAGTTCTGATCCTCTACCATGGTCGCCATTTTTGTGGACAGTTACACTGCCACTTCTCCGCGGAAGCGCCACCCCCGACTGTCGTTACACCGAACTCCCTGAGACCTCCGGAGAATCTACCGCCCTCTAGTTGCAGGGGATTCATTTGCGGTTTGTTCCTTTTGACATGGACTGCCTGCCGGGTTGCGTTCGAAAACTCGATTGGATCGGTAAAATATCATTTAATGAACCATTCATGATAAAAAGAATCTTTGCTCTTTTTTTTCCTGATTGGCCAATTAAGTGCTACTCCACCCTCGAGTAAGGTTTTCGAAACCTTGTTCTGCAGGAAGTGTGTAGGAATGGCACATCAATGATGCAACATTGGAAGTTTAGGGGTGCGTTGAGAAATCCTACTTGACGGGTGAAATAACGCTTAAGTAACCAATCAAGATAGAAAGAGCAAAGATTTCTTTATCATGATTGCTTTTAAACTACCTGTCGAATAGCATTTTTGAACACTTTCCTCAAAAGGTCAGTTATTGATCTCTTTTTGACGTGGAAAGTGAACATTTTTCAACTTGAAAACATTAAAAAAACATTTAAAAAATGTTCACTTTTCATGAGTTTATGCTACGGGAAAAGTTTCATGATTGCCTTCCAGCGAATGAATTTAACCTAGTAACTTTTTGTTACGAGATTGTCGAACTCGTATTTTCATAATGCACACTAGACTACATAAATAATCTCTTAATATTGCAATTAGTGTCACTGTTGGCTCAGTGTTTCCATTAATGAATTACGAAGACCTTCGCGAAGGCACGAAACCTGCCTGTACGTAATAAAATATAGCAGACATATTCGACATTTGGCGAGAAAGAGAGAAGAAAACGGGCTGCAAGATAGTTCAAAAAGTGCAGCTATCGAACAGAGATTGCCATTTGGCGGGCTTGTCGCACGATCAGTATCCCTCTCTGACCTGAGCCTTGGGCGCCAGCTATCTGCGAGCCACGTTTTGTCCTTGTGACCGGTGTTTGTTCGACAGCGTTGAAATACCTCGAGTATTGCGTGAGATCAGCCGTCGTCGCGGTAGCGCCAACGGTCGGTGAGCGAGTGAGGGGGCGGGGACAAGGAGGGGAAACAAGGTGAACGAAGAATCTGGGGGAATCTGGCGGCAGTGCGTGGTACGTCGTTGCTTTGGTCGGTATCGCTCGCTCTTACTTCCGCAGTGTTTTGATAGTGTATCGTCCATACGTGTCGTACACACGGTGCAGTGTGCGCGTCCCAGTTGATGTGTTTCGTCGATACCCCGTCGGACTAGAGTGTGCGGCTGGTCGCGTCGTAGTTGGCGCGCAATTCGTCGTCATTTCTTTCTTTTCTTTTCTTTCAATTGTTCTCTGACGAGCGGCGAGCTCGAAGGGGAACGACGATTCGTGACGGAGTGTCCATCGACGACGACGACGACGAGGAATCACGACTTGTGACGGTTCATTCGAGCGAGCGAGTTCAACACGACACGCACGTCTCATCCTTGTCTCGGTCCCCGACGACTGTCCACGTCCTGGTCGGCGGCCTCGTGTCCTGGCTTCTCGCGTTCTTCGCCGAGTGTGAAAGTGCATGCTGCCGTAGGAAGAAGCGACAGACAGCGGACTTGTGCGGCCACGGAGGATGTTGGATCGCGACACAGCGATACATCTCGTCGCCGGAGGGTGAGCTTGGTTTTTCTACTGACGCAATAGCACACCAACACGTTGACCCGGCACGGATCGCGCTTTTTGCGTCACAGCCTTGGCTCGCTTTTAAGAGCCTCTTACGATCTCAACGCGATCATCCCGATCGGTCCCGGTGGTCCTGTTGTGTAACTTTGAACGACAGTCGACGTTATCGTTACGTTGTTGCGCAGTTTTTCCACCGTGTATTATACTTGCGCAATGACGATGTAACCATGACGATATCGTCGTTAAAAGTTGCATGGCTCCGATATTCGTGAACGGGATTAAACTTTCTGAAGACTTTTCCGAAGGCATGTCCGGAGCGTGCTCAACACGTGTGTACCTGGTGTCCCAGGTGACACCTTTTCTGCGTACGATCCGGTGTCGGTATTTACTTAACGAGAACGGTAAGGTTATCTAGTACAACTTACCGCACGCTCTTACGACCGATTAGGATTATACGAATTATATACGTTAAATCGAAACTTCTCGAGCAAGTTCTTACGTCATTCACGACAGAGATTCGTTTTCTTCCGTTGCTGAGTGACGAGGGTTGAGAATGTGTGAGCACGCATCCGTGTGTATATAATGTAAGTGTGAGATGAGATTAGCCGATCTTTTATCGAATCTAGGAGGGAGGAGAATGTCTGGTTTACGAGAAGAAAAGTTACCATGATAACATCGGCTCTTGTCAACCGGTCTTATTTAGACGCGGTGTTATTCTCGCCGAAGGTGAAACGTGATTGAGTAATTGATTGAGTAATTCGCGTATTCGAATATTTCCAAAATTTCTCCATCGTGATCGTCAACACGGTTGATAATCCGCATTGACACGTGACGAAAACACGCCTGCGTGAGTGACGTAGCGTGCGAAACACATTGCGTACGCGATGCCCGCTCTCTCGCCAGATAACTGAGCCGCCACCGTAACATGCGACGGAATTATCAATTATTTTTAACCGGAGCCGGTTACCTCGAGAAGATTCAAACCCCGCTGGAAATTAAATACCGGAGTTTCCTTCGAAGGATCGTTTTAACCCCTGAGTGTGCAGATATTAGTTTGAAGGGCAGGAAAAAACCAGTTTTCTCCCATTTTCCCGCGGATTTATCCGGTTTCTGTCCCAAGAGTAGGAAAAATTCGTTTAGAAAAATTCACATGCCGAGAAACCGAGAAAATTCGTGGAAAAATAAGAAAAACCCGGCTTTGACCTTCAAAACTGTATCTATAAATATTCATATTAAAAAAATATGGGTTCTTATTTTATACCACTCTGCAACACATCCAACGTTCATTAAAATCGGTGAGGGATGTTGGTAATATAAGAGACAATTAATAATACAAGTAATCACCAGTACCAAACTATTAGTAACTACCATGCTAGCGTTATCACATTTGAATTATCGAGCTATTGTATTTGTATCATGTGATTGTGGGGAATATATTCATACTCCAAAATCGAAATTTACATATAGCAATGAACGGTTCATTTAACTTCTTTTAAGATTTTCCAGAAAAGTTATTTCCTCAAGCTATCTTCATACGTTAATCTGACCCAGAAGTCGCGAATCTCTTAACTATATATGTAGTTCTGCCAAGCGCAACAACTCGCAGTCACAGACGGTCGTATGCGCGTGTTATTTTTTGCGAATTAATTAAAATTGTTAATTGAAACTTCCAGCACGTGTACAATGTATATATATCGTGTACATGTGTGTATGTATGCCGCGGTGTTGCGTAATAAATGCAAAGCGATGTTGCGTAAATGCAAAAAGAGATATATTGAACGTGAGAAAAGACCTCTTCGCGAGATACCGATAACCTTAAGTAACTTTAGTTGGCGATTTCTGGTTTGTAGTCTTCTCAACTACGATGTAGATAAGACTGGTTTCTACAATGTCGTTTGATCCCAATCGAGACTCGCTAATCTGTTTTCTTTATTTATGAAGCACAGTCAGTACCGTAAATAGAGATATCAAATCAGACGAAGAGGTTAAAGGTAACCGGCGAAAAACTTTTCCATGCTGAAGGAATATTCAGTTAAACCGGTGTTTTCGGGATATTTAAGCACATCGTGAATACATATACATATTCTATTCGTCATAAAAATGACAAATATTTTTCTCTCGGCATATTAAAATGTCAAAGATATAAGGAAATTTTTCATCACAATTGACGCGCTCGCGTAGATAATCTCCATTAATCTAATCATTATCTCTAATTCGAATCCAATCCTCTCTTCTACGTCATATCACATTAGCGGTAATAAACCGAGGGAATAATGCCAATCAATTCGTCTTAATCCTCCGATTAATGCTAATTGTGCAGTCGGAGATCCGAACTTCGATCGGAAAATTCGTACCGCCGCGGCCGACATAGCAATCTTTTCGATATAGCACATGGTGACTAGTCGCCGGCATACAGGTCAAGCTACTTTTCATATCAACGAGTTTCGGGACAGGTGCAAAATCGCGCTATCGTTCTTACGATTTTCATATTCCGAAACCGCTGTTCGCAGTGAAATGCGGCGTTGCAACCTCGCTCCTTGACCACGGTTGCTTTCCAGCGAGAGACACAAGTCGACGAAAAGTCTGATTACATCATCTCTATTATCCTTTTCTTCACCAAATGCGAAATAAGAACTAATGATGATACAACTAGACTCGTGTCTCTTGCTGAAAAGCAACCGTGTAACTACGCGATAGCGTTCGTCTACCGTCGTTTACAGGTAGCAACTCGTTATTTACCAAATAAACGGTCACGCGCTAACTCGGTGCAGCCGGCCTTACCAATGCCGAAACACAAGAGCGTGTTATTTACAAGATCGCGTGTCAACTCGCACGGTGGAATTTGACGACGCAGTTATGCAAAATGTACACCCGACATATATATTTGCATTCGCTGCCTACCTGCTCGCGTGTACACATACAAAGCACACCGATTTCCACGCGGCACTCTCGCCTTTATACCCGAAACACCGATAACTCGCCGTTGAATTTTCGACGCGAGCAAGAAAGAGCGAACAGTTCGAATACCTGTGAAATACATGCGCACCACATACGATCAGATTGGGTTAGATTGCGTCAGCATGTGTAACTTGGCTACACAGCGCGGTGGAGAAGAATTAGAGGGACGATTCGGTGTCTGAGAAAATAATCGATAGGATGATGGATACTCGCGGTCCACTTTCCCAGACACATTTAAAGTTCTGCTCTATTTTTGCCGTGACATACAAGGTTATATACAATTGTGTTCGATAGGTACGTGTTTTTGAGCTATTTCAAAACCATTTCACAAAGTGGTTAACGTCAGTCGCAAGAAGATTGCGAGACACTTTTCTTTTGTAAGTTCCCTAATGCATCTCGTGTCCAGTCGGAGAATTTATTTTTTTTTAGTCATTTTCAGGAGATGCATTTTCTTACTGGATACGAGATGCGAAATTCGTCGAGAAAGGTGTTGTAATCTTTTTGTGACTGACCATATCGATATCGTCAATGTGAACCAGGTATATGGATCTGTCTATCGGGGTACTCAGATTCACGCTCAGGTGTTCGAGTACTATACGAAATAACCGAGTACTCGGGAACAAAAACCATGGACAGTACTCGCGCACCACGTGTTATTGATTTGCGCGAGAATGGACGTCGCATCGGTTGATTTTACCATTTATTTGTCTAAGATACCGTCTACTCTGATCATATGATACTCGAATACTCGAAAATCTGCGAATTCGGGAAATCGTCGGGAAACATCCAAATGACCCGGATGCCCAGGTAGCAGCTATCTCAGGTTTCTGAACACACCGGTCGGTCAAAAAAGCCTCAACACACAATATTACCAGGTTATTAGGGTTTCCTAACCGTACGCCATATCGATCTGTTATTGATTATTCAAAGAAGACCAAGCACGGTCTGTCAAATCGGTAATCCGTCACTGCAATAGCTTTTTATGTTACTGTCCAAAGTCGAATGTGTATGGTTATAAAATACCATTAACCTAATTATGCGGCGTGTAATTAGGTTATTGAGATTAATTCTGCCGATTAACGTACATATTGACATTATTACCGAATTTATCTGAAAACGAGAATGATAACGACACTTCTTTTCGATAAGTTTTGACATGCGTCCGATATCGGTAGGAAAATTTAACAGGACATAAGTCCCGGTATGCATTTCCGATATCTAGTAGGAAAATCCATTTTGTTAGAATATCATTAAGAAACACGTTCTCCTACTGAATACATAGCAGAAACTCATTGCAAGAAATGAAGTGTCGCGATTATTTTGCTTTCGAGCGTGTACGTGCATATCATTAAGTATAATTATGCAACTGCGTACTATTATTAGAATCCGATAACGTATTGCCACGTGCACTGCCGCGTTAAGGGAATTGTCGCTTGACATTCGCTGACATTCGCATATATCGTGGGGCCGGTGAAATCTGTGAATCTCGATCAACGGTTTGTGTTCTCACATTGTTCCCTCACGGTGGCTTAAACACGTGAAGAAAACGTGAACGCGTACTTGCTTCACAGCGCGGAAAGATACGCGAGTTTACGATGCGCGACGTGTGAATCAGCCGCTAATTCGCGGTTCCGTTCCTTCGATAAAAGATCCGGCGCGCTACGCAGTGGCTACTTCACGCGTGGGCGAGTTGGCTTACCTTTAGACACCTTCGAAAGGTCAGGTGTATTTTTTCTCCGTTAAATTAATATAAATACAATCTCTTCTCAGGCCTCTCCAACTCACGCTCAATATAACGTATCGCACGTATATTTCACTTCGACTTCGTATGTTTCCGCAAATGCAAAGTTCGTCACTCGGTCGGAAATTCTTGATTTTGAATTTTCTTTCTCCCAAAATCGAGACTAAACACGACGTGAAGTCGAAAACGTTTTCCGTTATCTGTTCACCGTTTAGATTTGATTCGCAAAAAGATTTCGATTAAATTGTTTACTTCTTATAATCTCCAAGAATAGCTCGTTACTCGAGCTTTTTCACGGAGGAGGAACAAAAATAATGCAAGAATGTATAATAAATTGATCGTCCTTCGTACGAAGAATTTAATCGAATATGCGCAACATTAACCGAAATATCAGTAACCCTAAATTCAGCGGTTATAAACACATCACTGATAACGCGCGTCGCGACGGAATATCAGCTCGCTAACATTGCTAATAAATACTTTGCGTCGCGAAATAATTATCGCATGTCTAATTGGAAAGATTCGCGAGATTATGCCAGTGAAAGGTTCTACGCACTTTTCTCGTGCCTCCTTCCCCCGTTTTCTTTTTCTTTTTCTCAACGCTTCGAAGAGAAAGACCCTCCTCGCGTATCGTACGTGCCGGTATCTCTGTATCTATGCGTATGTGATTATTTTAGTTTTTATCTCGTACGATGCGCAGATAATTTTACTTGAGAGCGATACGGTGGAAATCAGATTAAGTTCGTGGCGAGTATCTGTCTCACTCTACCTGTTGTCGCCATTATAAGTCCATAACCATGATTGGCAGTTCCTTATATGCTTCGCGATAACGGATTATTAATCGTGTACACAGGTGATCGTAATTCGGTAAGAATTCTCTTTACATTTTTCCGAGAAAAAAACGATTTTCTGATTTAAAACAGATATCGTGAATATTGTAATAATGTATTATATTCATTATTCCGAGTACACGTATAAAGACAAATTAGAGAAAAATTACGTGATATCGTGGTTTTCATAACACAAAGACGAAAACATGTGGAGAGAATTTATTTAATAATATTGCGTACACTGTATCGCGCAAATGGAATATATTCAAAAAATGTATTATTATATTACAACAACTGATTAATAGTTTGTTCAAATATATTTTTATTCTGACAAAGGTAGAAATTTATTATACACGTACAAGGATAGGTTTCCCACTTTTTCAGATGTTTTGAAGAATACGAGTATATTCTAACTACGGACAAATTAGTACATAGAGAAAAAAATTATTGCATTACGAAGGAAAGCAATTACTCAGTTCGTTTCTCTTATTTTAAGTAAAGGTAATCTTGAACAAAGAATACCTTCTTGGCAATCTTAAAATATGCCACAAATATTAGAAAAGTTCATTTTCATTTATTCAAAAGAAGAATTTGTTCTCTTTTCAGGTTCTGTTATAGATAATGCATAATTTCTATTATGAACTTTATCGAAGGAAAGTTAAATTTGGTTAATTGGAATAAGTAAATCCAAAGTTTTAGTTTTAATCTTTTAATTTAATATTCTTGATTGAAGTGTTAAACTTACTAGAATTTAGAATATATTTTAGATAAATTTGATGCTTATGATGAGCTCATGATATATTTACGGATATATAAATTTACGAAATATTGGAAACAAGTATAATATTTACTTGAAAGCAGTATGTGTATTTTTTTGCGTGTATAGTGCTGCTACGGTTTACAAATGTTCTAATGTTACTAATATCCTTCAGACAAATTCGCTCCACGTACACTTTTTTTTGTAGAGAAATTTACAACTTCTCGCGCGTGCTCGCGTTCGTAATTGCATATTCTTCTTCTATTTTGCGTAGTGTGGCTGGCACGGCAGGAGCGATAGTGACTTGTCCTCTGGAAGTAGTCAAGACCCGACTGCAATCCTCATCTTTCGGTTTCCACCCACCTCCATCAAGCAAAGAGTTCACGTCTGGTCACTCCTCTGGTTACTGCAGGAATTCGCCGACCCCCGAGCAACGTAGGAGGCTATGCACCGGATTGTATCCCCGGTAAGTGAACTAGCGAAGAAGTTGTGAATCAGTCACCGGCGTCAATGCGACATTGTTGATGCGTATTGCGATAATTTATTTTAATTAACGCGTTTGGCCAGATACTTGAGTGGCATAATTTAATTGTAGGTCATAAACCGCAGGCGACTCGTATACGATTTATTTCTCAAGGTCTCGTATTATCTTTCCCGACCGATATCAACGCTACCAGTCACTTAAGTTACATTTTGTCATATTTTCTTGACAAGCCACTAAAAAATACATTATTAAATTGATAAGATAAAATACTAACTAGTCCAAACTTATTTACATTCAGTCCGAACTGATTCAAAATGAGTCATTTTCTCTATTTGAGCTACCGTTAAATTTGTCAAATATAGTCGTCCAATATGTTTTTGTTGTTGTCTCGTCTGTTGCTGATTGTCGTTCATACACTGCATCAGTCCGTTGTTTCCTTATTATGAACTTTCAAACTTGATTATAAAAAGAACTCGCTATATGTTAAATTATCCAAAGATAAACCTTTTTTTATTTAAACGACCTTAGTTATTCTCAGGATGTGACAAGAAGATATCATATTTGGCCACGATTTTGATGTCTGAGAAGTCACTTTTTGTCACCTTTTTTATATCAAGAAGCAGTCATTTTACTTTTTTGTTCCGATGACTGGATGGTAACGCTGTGATATATACGAGATGTTCGGTAGCCCCGTGGTGGAATTTTATTTCTCGACGCGAAAATGATCGTAAAATCTCTTCACACCGATGACAACTCCGATACTCCACATTTTCCCGCTTCTCTCTGTTTACGTTTATGAGTCACATTGTCCGTCGACTTAGCGACTATACAGCACGCGTTCAATCAACTCCGCAAAAACAAGCCGAAAACCTGATTAAAAAATTCACACGATGCAGCCGATAATATCACTTTGATAATGCCGGCGTGTGGAGCCGGCTTACAACGAGACCGCACGTAACGTAAATAACATGTTGTTTGACAACATGTCGGAGTGTTGCTCTCACACGGAAAAAAATCATTCCGTTGGTGTAACTGAATGTTCCGTTGCGTAGGGACCGAATGAAAACACGGTTGTACGAGCAGAAAAGTTTCTGTAGGAGGTTTCCGCTAGCCAATTGTCCTCAGTTGTCTCGACCGAGTTTTCATGCAGCTCAATGTGCACACAAGTCTTCTCATCCGCGGTAACAAAGATATCACTTCTTGTCGTCGAATTTTTTTCATCTGGCCTCTGTTCAATTGTAGAAATCGAGTTATTTTTCCACGTATCGCGCGATCCCGGTGAAATATGGGGAACCTGTCGTCTCATACGTCGATCTCTCGCTTTCTTTTCCTCAGGTACTCCGGTCACTTCGTAGCTCTTTCGCATTTCGGCGTCTCGAGCCGGCCGCCACAATCCCGGCACGCGCCAGGTATCTATGAATGTATACGGCATATCATCAAGCATGAGGGAGCACGTGGACTGTTCAAAGGTCTCGGGCCGAATCTTATCGGCGTGGCACCCTCCAGAGCGATCTACTTTTGCGCCTACTCCAAGAGCAAAACCGCCTTCAATGCCATCCTACCTCCCGACACTCCGATCGTTCATGTCTTCTCCGCGTCCTGCGCTGGTAAGATTTCATTATTTCTACACACGTTACCTGTCTCTCTCTCTCTATATATACATACACGAACGTTCTATATATACGTTACACATATAATTCACAACACATTATCGCTCGCAATGCATCGAGGATCTTGAAAATTTTAGAACCGAAAAACTTTTCCGCTTTCTTCGCGCGTTGAACAGCGATTTCGCCGCTAAGCATCGTGATATAGTTAATGTTTTCCTACGTGTTCTACTTTTTCTTTTTTCATTAATTTACAATTATATATATATATATATATATATATATATATATATATATATATTATAAAACAGAAGAAATACTTATTTCTAAGCATATTATCTTTAAGCATAACAATATGGAACGAAAAAATTTGAGACGAAGTTCAAATCGTCACTGGAAGCGATATGTAATCTTTAATTCACTTATACGTTTCTTACACAAAAATAATTATGGGTGCGAGCATGCTCATTATCACGCAAATTTGGATTCGCGAACAAACGTTATTTTCTTCGTCTTTTGTCTTATTTCTCGACACTCTTGTTACTCGCGTATCTTCCTCGCCTGTGCCTTGCTAAAAGTTGTCACGTCGAAACGTAGCCGTGAAACGTGGATTCTTTTCCGTTCGTTTCGCGCGTATTTACCTAGTGTTTCGAAAGGTATCGCGAAAGAAGTCGCACGTGTGTGCCGATCGATATTAAACATCGCGGCGTAACGCGTTGCACTGTGAGGTGCGTTGTAGTAAAATTACGGAAACGTAACGCGATAAGCATATTCAGCTGTGTATGTTAATGAGTGTCGGACGATGGTCCGACGCGACTGGTTATTACACCGTGGTCGTCAACGCGGCGTTATGTGGACCGTTAATCTTCCTACCTTGTCAGCTACCTTGAGCCCGCCTTCGTCGCGAAACATCCTTTATATTCGCAGAGAATCGTTTAAAATTACACCACACCGCATTATTATTAAGCCTAGTCATAACACCTCTCTCTCGCTATTTTCCATCGTTCAGCAACTATTTTCGCGTCGCTCGGCAAAAGATAAAATATCCTTCTTTTCTTCCACCTTTTTTTTTCTCTCGCGACGCAATAGCCGCAATAAGACACGGGATAACGATGTGTACACTCGGTAACACCTCGTTCAACACTTCGGTAACAATGTACACATCTCGGGAAGAAATGGCCGCTGCCCTGCTGCATATAAGAGGCCTCTTTATGTACACTGTATTGCAATATGATTTCGTATTCTTTCTATCACGCACGGATTTTGAGGGAATCGGTTTCTTAACGAAACTAGAGCGGAGTGTGTTTATACTGTGTATGAATAGGGGAATTTAACTTTTAGGAACTTTAGGTTTTGCATAAGTTGTCGACACTATTATTCTCGGTTATTGTTGAGGGGAAACGCCATCCTCGTCGTGCGAGTGAAAGAGAGCCAGGTGTGTTCGCTTCAATAAGGGACCGCAAGAATGTAAGTGATATTGCGCATCACGCACATATATTTACTGTATATATCTATGAAAGTGTTACTCTTCTCAAAAGCTATACGTGATAGGAAAAGTATCAAGATCATATCGGAAGGCAGTAGGAAATCTTCCTTGAGAATCTCTCGGGAGAGAAAATTCCTACGAGAGGACGGAAAATCGAGGTAAAATATGTTAACGTCAATCGATTTAATCGTCGCGAAATTCAATCGGAATCGATTTGTCTCCGTTCCTCCTGCGCATATCTAAGTTTTCTTATCCAACCCGAAGCGAGGTCTTTTTTCAACAAGATCTCTCCGCGAATTTATCGGAAATCGACGACGCGCTTCTTTAGTGTCGAGAGAAAGAGAAAGAGATTATTATTTATCGCAACGTGTTTCGACATCAGAACCGGGTTACATTTCTCGACGAATTGTCTCGAGTAAGGCTCACGTCGAATCGACAAGTCTTCAAGGCTTTCAGCGCGTCTACACACCGTCAGAGCGAAATTCGCAAGGAGAATCTTCGTTCCCGAGATGAAGAGCATTCGCGCTCGATGGAAAATTTCGCCGAGGACACACCGACCCCGATCAAAGCAAAATATATATCTTGGAAACATTTCGTGCGTGTCTCGCGCGCACGCGTTACAATAACATGAAAGCGGTATCGAATTAGATTCCTGCTAAGTCATCGTTATTCCGCGTCGCTTCATCCTTACTCTCGTTTCATTCGGCGCTCCATAGTTAGCTGGCTGTCGTGCTCAATGTGCGCGATTCCCTTCGTATTGTTTCATGCCCGTGCTGTATAAGACGTAATGCCGTTCTGACCTTGGTGGCAAGAAGAGAAAATAAAATGCTGTCAACAGATCCACGCACGCACGGCTGTATATCGCCGATTCGAATACGTATCGCTTGTTGCGCCGTCATATTCTCTTTCGCTGACAATCCAATCAACGAGGCGGCGATAGACGCGCGATTAGCGCTCGATGGGGGAGGGGCAGGGGACGATATTCTGCGCGTCATTCATGCGCTATCTTTAATGGAATCCGTCGGAGTGCCGCCACGAACATCGTGTCGTGATCCCGAGACACCCGCTGCCGACCGGCCAGTCTCCCAATGTCGATAACCCGAGGACACGCGGTACATGTGTGGTATATATCCGGTAGCGCGTGATTTCGCGCACTTTTACTCTCGATCCGTCTCGTTCGATTTGCGAATGTGAACGCGAGCGAAAGGGAAACGTCCTCACCACCATTCACCATCGGATTGAGCTTTCATCGATAGTACGAAACTAACAATTAAAATACAGTAAAAATACAGTAAAGCATAATCTGAGATAGAGAGAGAGAGAGATATCCTTTTCATCGTTTTATATTGGCTTTTTGTTGACTATATAAACAATTTTGTAGATACAATTCATTAATTATACGTTACATGTAATTTAATGTCCTGGACTTTCTATGCTAAATTTAGCATTAATAGACATTAATAGACTGCACGTCTCAGCCAATGAGCACTCATGTAAGATAGACTTTTTCAGTGGAATGTCTTCAAGTTTTTAAAATTCACTGCCATTTTAACTCGACCCGCTAATTAATATTCAAATTATATATATACTTTTTCCTTTTTCTCTTATATATTGCTTGTATTTACTAGTCTGTATCTTACTATTAATTTATAATTTATTTCTGAATGCAATGCCGATAACCAAATGATACTTTCCCGTAAATAAATATTATTGCTCTATTGTTTATTACTATTAAATAAGAACTAAAGATGTATGTCCTTAACACGTTCATTATCAAGATTTATTTGGGAGTCTTTCTCCACCACCTCGTATCTCTTTGTACGCAATTGTATAAAATAAATTTAATTTAATAATGTAGAACGGAAAAGAAAATATTTGCCGTCACGTTGGTCCCCCGTTGTTGCGTCACACACGTGTGACGCTGGTGAACGTGTCGAGACGACGTACGGTGGATATTCTGAGATTGGTCTTTGGGACGATTGACGTTAGAGATCAAAGTTTAGTTCTAAAAAGAAGCCGAAAGCACAGTGAACATTCTGAAGCTGATCGTCGACACGAAGCAACTGGCTTCAGAGATAAAAGTTTCGGTTTCTCCGGCACGCAACTCCAAAAAAGGCCATTCTTGTCAAACTGTATGAATATCCCAGCACGGAACCCGTTGAAACCGCATTCGGAACTTCACTGTGCATTGATAATCTCAAATGAAATTTCCTCGTAACTCTGACGTCCATACCAATTTTTATTATTCTGCACTCTATGTATTTTGTGTAACTGAAGACGGGAAACTTATCGTAAACCACATACACACACTCACTAAAGATTTCAGTGTAATCGTTATCTAATTTGGACCCCTCTAACGTCCTTATTAAGAAGCGTCGTTATCTCGTAAGCTCTCGATATATACCGTGTCTACTTTCTCGTCACCATGGAGCTATTGAGAAACAAACACGCGCTCAGTTCAGCAGAAACCTATAAGACGAATTGAGTCGGTTTAAAAATCCTACCGTGCACGTATATGTACCATCTCAATTTACTCGGAGATTCCCGGAGAGGACGTCGTCAACGGACGGCGAAATCGACGTTGCGTAACGTATCGCGGATGTCGCTTCGCGCACTTTACGCGTCCCTATTACGATATTACCACGTTAAGTGCGTCATCCTACCTTCGACATTTTCGAAAACACACCTCAGTTTCTTTACTCGTCCGGCTCGTGAATATAAACGCGCTCGTTCGTTTGGAGACACTCGGTGCATCGTGTATGCTCGATAAGACCCCCGTGAACAATACAAGGCGTTATCCGTGCCGAACTTTGACTTCATGAAACGATCTGTTCGCAGTTATTCGATCGGTTCGCGGGGGAGCCACGCGGTCAGTGCGTGTTTTCCCGTTTTTCTTGTTTGCCATTCGCGACGTTTTTAACGAACGCATCACGTCACCGGAGTCTTCGCGTGTTATCTCTCTTTTTCTCTTTCTTTCGATCCGTGAGGCATTCGACTCATCCGGCGAAAATTGAAAGTCCGATCTCGTCGCAATTTTTCGATTCTCGCGATATTAGATAAGCGGAACCTTTAAACGGAATGCCGCTTTCTCTCTTTAACGGAGAATCTCTTATTAAAAGGGAAATAATCACGGTAAAATGTATAAGGAAAACTTTTTACTATTTTTAAACACGCCGTTTGAGGAAAATTCTTTCAATATGCGTCACGCTTTTCGGGTAACGAGAGAGAGAGAGAGAGAGAGAGAGAGAGAGAGAGAGAGAGAGAGAGAGAGAGANTGATCTATTGTATGCGAAACTCTGATATCGATCTATCGACGATGTATATAAATATTTGGTTAGTCGTGATTCCAATTCGCCCACACACGTCATTTGCATCGACTCGCCAAACAAAAAGGAGTACTTTTTACATTTTTTTTTTACACGCATTTCACAACCCGTTGGCTGTCGTAATAATTTCAACGATTCGTAATTTTTCAATCGCGCACGCGTGTCGCAACGGACGATCGGCAATCGACGATAACTATTGTTTACAGCGATATAAATCTAATCTTTAGGACAATTCATTGACGGTCGAATGTCACTCGTGTCATTTGTGCCTCGGAATCGGCACAAGATTACGGTTTGTCTCTCTGAATACCTATGCGATCGCATGTAAATATAATGATATCGCGTGTACATTTACTCGCACAGATAAGATGTTACATAAAATCGAGGCCTCGTAATGGTGCCTTCACCGCCTGAACTACACGCCCGATGATATCGTTTTTATATCCTCAAGTTATGAAACGAAAAAAAAAACTCGCAAAGAAGCTCGGTTAGGGACAGAAGTTTTTGTGTTTGGGATAACAACATATAAGAATACACGGTGCAGTGGTTGTATGAACTTTATTCTCGAGGAGACATCGGTGGGCTAGAAAAATACTTGTCTCGATACTCAGCTCTCGATATATCATCCGGTACCCGCATAGAGAAAAATATAATTCTACTGATAAGAAAAAGCGATTGCTCAATTATTTTTTTTCTTTTAAGTAATAGTTATTTTCAATAAAGAATATTTTCTTGATAATAGTCTTCACATGTACTCATCACCGAGTTTAGAAAAGCTCATTATCACTCACATACTCGAAAAAAGAATTTATTCTCTTTTCAAGAATATTATAAATTTTATCGCAGAAAAATTTAATTTGGTTAATTTGAATAAACAAACTGAAGTTTGTTTTAATATCATATTCTTGACTGAAGTATCAAACGTGCTAGGATTCAGAATATATTTTGAATAAACGATATTTGTGTGACAAACCTATGATATATTTACGGATATATAAACTTATATAATACTTGAAACAAGTAATATGTACTTGAACGCGGTATATATTTTTCTGTATGCATAGACCCAAATTTTTAGTCCCCGAGCTTCTTCTTTCAGCACTTCTATTTGTAGAAATTGATTTCACGTTTTTAACTCTTTCCTGGAGATTTTCCAAGAGACAAAGAAAACATGTGTTTATTTCTTACATAGAATAAGATCACGCTCTATCTTGCAATGACTAATATACAGTACGATGTACCGAGAGTTAAGCGCGTAAAAATCCCTCGCTGAGTATGACTCCTCTCGTTTTTTCGTGACAAATTTTCCATGTCTTTTTGTTCGGACCTAGGAAGTCACGCCAGACGTGTTCGACGAGTCTCGTTTTTTCTTCCTTCCTCTCTCTTACCGTCGTCTTTCCCTTCCTTCTCTTCCTCCCCTTTTCCTTCTCGTTCTTCTGCCGCCGCCGCCTCCTCGTCGACCGGAGAGTGCCTCTCCGACGGCGTACTTCTATTTTTAGCCGACCTAACCACGTAATTCAATGCCCGTCGTTGCGGCCGTGTGAGAACACGACCGACAACGGAGCCCTATCGTCGAGTGATCGCGCGCCGCAACGGTGCAACCGGAATTGCATCGCAATTTAAGATAATGCGCCGCGCCGGGCGACGCGTCGCGACCGCTTCTTCACGGCGCGTGCATCGTTCGATCCGAGAGAAAGACTCAACGACAATCGGAAATAGCGGCAATTCGGCATGAGAACGTTATATTTTCGCGCTGCGTCTCAGTCGCGAACACGCTTCGACGCTCCTGTCGATATCGTCATGTCGGCATTATACACGAAACACTTGAGTAGATAAAACACTTTGTGCTGACAGTGACTACATTCAGAAAATTTTTTTGTATTATTTGCGACAAGGAAGAAAACAATACGTTTCGCGAGAAATACTTCGCAAAATACAGAGAGTAATTGAGTGTGTGTGCGTTGAATTTGCTAGGTTATTGCAGAAGATTTGTGCAAGTTTTCCATTAAAGTCTCCTAGAAAGTTTGGATATTAACAGGAGAATAGAAAGTCCTCGTTAAATGTAGAAAACAATTCCGAGCAATTTAAATGTAAAGTATATCTTATACGAAGGGTTGCTGTCGTATACTTCGCGCCACGAGAGGAAATTGAGTCTCGAAGAAAATCGACTGATACTCGACGAAGATCCGAATGATCCTTCTTCGCACCTGGCGGCGAATTCGTATTTTCGCGGTTACGAAATCGCGTACTTTCGGCGGGTATAATACGCGACCGGTTTTCGGTTCCGCGATGTTTCGGACCGGTTTGCCTGGCCCCGGCTTGCGCGAGATCGGGAACAAACGCCTTTCAGGTAGCGCGAGAGGTAAATAAAACATAAACGAGTCATCGTGAGCGCTCGCGTGCTGCGCTCGCAATAAATTGCGCACTGCGTTACGCACAGTGGTGGCCTGCTCTCGCTTGCGTAACTCTCGCCCGCATCTCGGCTACGCATACACAGTGACGCGGTTAGTACGATTCCCCGGTTCCGTGTTAGTGGGACCGTAATGAACGGTCCCACCCGATATAGGACCGCCGATAAACAGTGCGATTCAGAAGGTCGAAATCGTTTCCTTATCAGACTCGCGTCTCATCATTATGGTATCAACTGCCGTGTTAATTTGCGGAGCAGGAACTAGAAAGACGCGAGTCTTTCGTTTTCTCGCGTTACACATCAAAATAAATCAGCTTCTTGCAGTCTACGATCGCATTCTACGTTCAACTCAAATTTTATCTAATGATTAATGACGCGGTTTTAGTGCTTACCTTGATGATAAAATTGAACTTGTGCTTCTTCAACTCGTAAATTCACGGTGCACGTATTGAAAAATCGCTTTCTTTCTTTAACCTTAGAATACTGACGTGCGTCCTCGAGACAGATATTTTTGACAAACCTCCGTCTCTCCTCTGTTTCTCATTTCACCAATTTTCAATTTATTTTATATTTTGAAAAAAAAAATATATATATATATACGTTATATTAAACATTTTTTAGTTTTCCTTTTGTTGATCTCCAAGATCGGAAGTATAGGCTTAGATTACAAGAGTTAGTGTTCTAAGGTTAGACAGTTGCAGATGACTTAAAGATAATATTTGATTTTCGATGGAAATTATTACCAGAATACACACACACGCCCACGCAAGACAAACGCCGGAAACCGATATCTGTGCGTAGTTAGTTTCATCAGATCTCACATTCTCGTAACGTCGGGCGAATGATAATGACCGGTAGTTATTAAAAGGCACCTTGCCAGTGATCTCGACCTGTCATCAGGGACTCGATTTCTTCGTTCAAAGCAGTCTAAAAATTGTAGACTTCGTTTTGTGCGTGGAGCACCGGCCGGTGTGATGATCTCGCTTTGCATGACATTTGCAAACCCTTGATAACGCACACAATTATAGACCTCGATTCGCGTGGAAAGCGCCGGCCGGTGTGGTGATTTCGCTTTGCTTGAATATAAAGGTAAATATAAATATAGAGATAAATATTTATAGACGAATACACAGAGGTAGCCTTGAAGGCAGTGCCTGTCTGAACACAGGAACGATGTCTATTTCACACTTGGTGGAACTCAGATTATCGAATCCAATACCGATTTGTGCGGACACCTTCTTGTTAACGCGTTCCGTGCCAAATCAATTTTGCATGACTCGTCCACGCCGCATTAGTGTGACCCTCGCATTGTCGTATATAACGAGCCACATTTGATTTGCCAAATAACATTTATCTCGTAATAATTATCAAAGTATTTCGTGATTACGTTCCGCTTCAGAACGAAATCATCAAACGGCCTGATCAACGGAAAGTTTGCGTGGGCCTCCGATAACCCACGCGGCACGGAACGTGTTAATGACTTTTTTCTACGCAATAACCGCCGGCTACAACTTTCCGAAAGTTACTCAGAGTCATGACCTTGACATGTGTGAAGATCAAGGTCATCGACGAGGTGCCTCTTAACGTTAATAATTATCATACTATCATTTGAGGTAAATTATCGATTTGACTTGAATTAACAGTTTGTTGGAAAAAAAAATAGGACGATTTACGAAAAAGCAGCGGCGAGCTTCGTGCGCATACAATAAACGTCGTCGTTCACTTTTGCAGGTTTCGCGGCGTGTACACTGACAAATCCAATTTGGTTCGTAAAGACCAGACTACAGCTGGACCACCGAACGAATAAAATCACTGCGATAGAATGTATGCGGAGGATATATCAACAATCGGTAAGACAATAGACTTTGTTTCTCGTCCCATAAGGCTGAGACATCGACTCGCTGATATACCGATTGTACGTCCGCGTGATTCTGAATTTGATTCAAATATATTGAAATATGTTTGATTTTAAGCATATACGGGTCGTGTGCTCGTTATTGCGTGTTAGAAATCAGACGACCATGTTTACGCGCTAAGTACATATACGTCTCTCTGTTTTGCTCGTGGGGGATACTAGCCCAGTGACAATTACTGCAACGAGTACTGGCTCAGCTAGTAATTGCTATCTTGATTCTCCTTGAAAAAGATAATTCCAGAGTAGAAATAAAAATAGCGCGAGCAATATCATTTTACGAAAATTGCTGTTCACATGGAATTGCCCGTGACAGAAAATAAACGAAACATTATCCGTTTTTAACTTGCCGTTATCTAAGCAGTACGATTGGAAAGTACCTAATATTTAGTCAAAATGTGGCACAATTTAATACAAGAGATAAAAGACTTTAAGGGTAAAGTGTAAAGTTTGAAGTGTATATTGATTTAATGCACAAAAGAAGAAATTGAAGGCCGAAGAAAAAATTCTGCGAAAATATTGTATATATAATAATAATTCTTATAATGAATTATCAGTTGATTCAACAGAAATACTATATATATAATAATTAATTCCAAGTAAAACATATTTTTTAACTTTCTGCCAAGCCAATATATAACAAAACACCGATTATCCGGCGACAAGCCGGGAGACAGTTTGATCCGATAAATCGATAACGATACGCCTATTATCGTCGCTCTCGCCCGTGCATTATTTTAAATCGCGAGAAACGTAAACAAGAAGACAGGTATGAATTTCGGCTTATTTCGCGCGCGAAGTACCTGCAATCGTATTGAGAAAAAACCGGTTGGATCTACGAAATCGGCAGTCACCCTTGTTAAAAAAAAATGTTATGTCCATTGAACAAATTATGCGTTGGTGCAACAATGCTTTGATATAGTTGCTGAAATCATTGAATCAACTGATAACTCATTACAGGAATTATATAATTTGTTCATTTGGACTAAACGTAGCACTTTTGAAAAAAATTACATTCGTTTAAGTAAAATTTCGTTGATTTCAACCACTTCTTTTTTTCAATGCAAAATATTGATTTTCTGTAATCGGCATTCCGCGTAACCGTCAGCCCAGCGACCGTTGCTCTTCTTTCTCGACTTTCCCTGTTCTCGAAGATAAAAACAAGTAGATTGCGTTTCTCGGGGCCGTAAAAATCGTGTCGATATCGTATATCGACCAGTTTTCACGACGTCGCGACGAGAACGTCGTGAGAATTATTCTGAGATAACGATCGCGCGTGCACGTCGTCGCGGGAGCGAATTGGAAAAACTGAGAATAACCAGGAGGGGTCCACAAAGTTAACAGTGATGTTGCAAGATCGCTGAATATGTTGCGAACGCCACTTGCGGCCAAGATTATTTTCTCAGCCGGCAATACGTGCGTACGACGCCGGTGTTACGACGAGGGAGAACTTCGTCGTCGATTATAGAGCTGATGTAATCGTCTTTCGATTCGACATTAAATGAAATTTCCCGATAATTGCTCCTTCCGATCGAAGGCGCTTAATAATTCATTCGTGTTTGAAGCTCGCGAAGAACGGAATCGAGTCTCAACTTTCACGCAGAGAAAGTAGCAGGGAAGTGATTCAAAGGAGCTTTTCTAAGATCGTTTGGCAACGTATGGATAAATCATTTGTTTACTCGTCGCGAAAACGTCAAACTATTCGATGGACCCGCGTCAAATCGAGACTATTCACTCGGAGACGATTTGTACGTGCGCATCGTGCATCATGCGATAGCATTCAACACGCCGGAATTGAGCCAGCTTTAAAATCGGCACCGTGATCTACGAATAGTACATCCGGTCAAAAATATCTGGGGAAATACCGCGCGCTACGTTGAGCAATGCTTACGTAGCGAACAGATCTATATAATTTTGCACTTTGCTCCTTCGTCTCGGAAAACTGTGCGGGTGTCGTTTCCAATGTGCAGTTGTCGGTGTCATGTATGCCGTACTATTTCCTACATTAATATTTTTTATTATTACACGTTTTTTAATCATTCACATATAGTTTTAAAGATTCGGAAAAAAAACCCGGATTTATTTTCCAATTTTCGAAGCATCGGAACTATTTTAATCGGAGCTATTATTCTATTCTATCATCATAACTAGAATTACATCTGCGATTTTTATCCTGATACGTTATGCGTAATGCTGAAAATTGTGTAAATCTCTCTCCGTCTGGGGAACAATATATGATGCCGACCGTATGCGCACGAGTTCACGGATGAAACGTCCGTGACGAGCGACAAATAAACGGACGTCGGGAAACTTCATAATTTATAATTGTGAGGCGAGAGGTGATAATTATAGCCGGTTTATCGATTAACTTCTCCATTGTCACCAAAATATCGCTTTTCTTTTTCTTTTTTTGGTCACGTTTGTGATGTTTGATATCGATATCGATTTGTTATCAACAAGACACACCTTGCAATCAATCGAACGAGTTGCGCTTCGGATATTCTTCGCTTTCTTATCCCCGGCAAACGCGACAAATGCAAGATTTAGTACTGTTTTTAAACTCCCTACGCAGACTTCAGGTGTTCTCTCTCTCTCTCTCTTTTCTTTTTCTTTTTTACACAGGTTGCTACCTACACAATACAAGCCACGCGCGTTTCAAAGATATATAATAATCGTGAAAGTATTGTTCTTAATTGTATCTTTACTCTGAATTGCGTATCAAGATTGTTATGATATGTGATAACAATCTTATCATATCAATAACTAATATCAACTTGGTAAACATCGCGTAGTGACACAAATGTTATACAATTGTGCCGTGTTTATATACAATATTTACGTATACAATGCACTCGCTGCAATATCAATATCACTAGTTGGAGATAAAAAGATTACCACTTTGTCGTCCGTGCCAAAACACGTCGAGGAGAGTCGCCTTGTCGATGAACTCTCCTCGTCACCCACCACGTGTACGTCCTAGTACGTTTGACTTAAATAAATGAAATAATTTAGTCTGATTGGTTTAACATTCTCCTTGCAGGGTATCCTGGGATTTTACAAAGGTATCGTGGCGTCCTACATAGGCATAAGCGAGACTGTGATACACTTTGTGATATACGAGGCAGTGAAGTCTTGGTTAGCCACACACGGGTCGCGAGCCGCGAGGTCAGATGACAGAAAGACCTTCCGAGACTTCATCGAGTTCATGGGGGCCGGTTCGTTCTCGAAAACGATAGCGTCGATCATTGCGTATCCTCACGGTAAGTGCTTTTATCGGTAAACCCCCTTCTTCTTCTCGATGACGACGCAGGATTACGAGCGGGAACGCGCGGCTGGAGCAGATCTTCCGGGAATTCCTTCTGTTTTTCTTTTGTCAATCGAATCATAACTCGCGCCGAGAAAAAGAGAGACAGATAGCTCTGTTATTTATTTGCCAGCGCGTTTTAACCCGCGTATTTTTCTCTCCCTGGCATTGACGAAGAAGATTCCCCGAGTTCGGTCTAAAGATAGCGAGCTATCTGCAACGCGTGCCAGCCACACTCGACGTGCAATTACGCGCTTACATCCTACCTACGAATAGTTCGTGACGTTCCAGTTGTTCGAATAAATCACGCTCGACCACAGCCGGTTACGCCTCGCATTTCCAGCACGAGATCGCTCCGCAAAATCGCCACTGTCGAAATCGGTATGCGCCGGACGTTATTGAATTACACCGGAAGAGGAAGTTGGACGACTTCCATTCGAGAAGCGTCACGTCATCGTATTTTTGCCCATTTGCTTGTCACGTTGCAAACGAAATCCAGGGACCGTAGATATGCTTCGGCTTATTTCGTGCACTCCAATCCAGTAGCATGAGAATCGTGGGAATATAATAGAACCAGAGTCTGCTTCATTATGCTCCAGGATAAATCCAGGATAAGAGCAAAAAGGTTCGAAGTTTCCTGGCAACGAACGAACCAAGCGCGTTGTGGTCGAAGGAAACTACAGTTTAAAATTTCGTGGAAAGTCGTTTTTCAGAAATTACAAAAACAAAAATACGAACAGTCGCCGTAAAAAAAAAGGGGGAGGGGGAAGAAATAAAAGAATATACAGTAATGATAAAATAATATAATAATAATAATGAGAACTTAGAGCATAGAACCTAGACACAGAAAGAGATGCTATGCGGGTGACTACGAGACGCGAGCAACACCGAGTCTCTAAACCATCCTGTGGTTCTTTTTCAGAAGTCGCGCGGACCCGGTTGCGAGAGGAGGGCACCAAGTACCGCACCTTCTGGCAGACCCTGCACACCGTGTGCGCCGAGGAGGGCGTGAAGGGTCTATACCGCGGCCTCGGCACTCAGCTGATCCGCCAGATCCCGAACACCGCAATCATAATGGCGACCTATGAGGCGGTGGTGTACATACTGACCCGGCACTTTCAGCCAGTAGCGGTGTCGTGCAGCGCCGGCGCTACCACGACGCAGTTCTACGGCGAGACTAAAACGAAGAGGGAACTGGCCTAGGACCTGCTCACGGCCCCCGAATAAAGGGCCCCAGCTGTTCCCCCTTTTGCATTAGGCGAATAAGCGCGCCTTCGGGCCCTCGTCTTAACATACGCCTGAGTAGAGAGCAATCGTGCGTCTAATGAGACGCGTCGAGACAAAGCGAGTGATGGTAAAAAGATAGGGGAGGGAGAGGGAGGGAGAGGGAGATAGAAAGGGATAGAAGGAATTGGATACCGGGGAAACGCGCTTGATACATACTGACCGTTACTCCGGGGCTAGTCAGAAAGGTGCTATGCGCCTTGATTGCGTACTCTGATCTAAAAGTGTGTAGCAAAAAGTAGTCCTTCCTCCTTTCAGGTAGCGTATGTATGGACCCGTTGTAAGGGAGAGGAAGAGGAAGAGATAGATAGTGGTTTATAAAGAGGGGAGGAGGGGGGGTTACAAGGAAGGAAGCGGTTGATTAGTATCAGATGGACGGACAGACCTGAGAGACCTGAAACTTCGCTTCTCGCGAAAACGCGAATCACGCATGCGTGAGCGCCGGGAAGAAACCAGGGCTTATTGTGTTAATTACGTAAAAAGCTTATTCGAGGTTTGCCTCTCAAGAATGCCCCTCGCTCCGGAAACGAGACTCGCCATGTCGGCAGGCTGGACTGCCTTCGCACAAGGCTCGCTGTGAAATATGTAAATTTCGACTTCGGGCGAGTCTGACTTCTGGCGTCGTTCCCACTTCACGATTTACGGCTTCTCGTCTTGCACCCCGCGTGTCGTCTTTCTCCTCGATTTTTGTTAAAAACACACACACTATAGAAGAGACGCCATTCAGATAAAACAAAAGAAAGCTTTACTTGCGAAATTGATTCGTAGAATGAGTACTACTACATTGTTCTAGAGCAACAAGTATAATAAAAAAACGATTTGTGACCGTTTGGATTTTTCTGAAGCAGGAATTTCGGATTTTCGAATATCTGCGTTTTGTTAGAAAATCGGCAATTTTAACCGGTCGTAAACGGAACATCGTAGATCATCGTAGATTATCGTAGATCATCCTTGAAAGCTTCAATGCTTCCTAGCTATTGTGACTTTCGTGAGAATCGTTATTTACAGAATCGTGTAAATAATCCGATCTCGAGTTTTTCGCGAGGATCTAATTTCCCTGTCTCAATTTTCTCAAATATCTCAATTTTCGTTTTCAAGCAATACGGACATTAGAATTTTTAATTTTCCATAGCATGCGCGAACAATGTTACCAGATGATATGATTACGTATATATTTAAAACTTATTCAAAAACAACGCATTTTCCTCCACATATGTAAATATATTTGTAGTTAAATCAATAATAAATTGGAAAATTTTACGATAAACATTTCAAACGCAGTCAATATATTATTCGTCATAATAAATACATAGACGTATATATCGTGACGAATTATGTTTGTGATTCTTCCGATTTGTTCATTCGTGTTTTAAAGAAGTTAAAGACGACGAAAGCTGAATGCTGTCGTTGACGTGTTATGCGTTTACATTTATTTTACAATCGTGCGTTGTAAACATATTTCGTACCAACGACAACGTTTGACTCCTGTCGTCGTTAATTTCCTTACGATGTTAATTTTAATCTAGACAGTTTAATCTTTGTAACAATTTAACTTGTTTGCGTCTTGTATTTACACGTTTTGTTAGATCGAGTTGTGTATATAACATACATTTTATGAAGATTTGCTGTAGATATTAACTCGAAATTCGTTACGGTAACAGTTCTGTTTGATCCGTGTTCTTTACGTACCGCAATTTCGTTATATTTTCTTACGTATATTTAACGATCAGCCGGATCAAATTTTCCATTTCCACAGTTCCGATTTCGTAGCCTGTACTCCGTCGAAATATCGCTAATATAATGCAATAAGTAGAATCCTTGACAGACCAGTGTACATTTTGTGCAGTTTGCTCTTAGACACAATCTTAAACAAAACAGAAGATATACTTAATATGTACATTATATAAATTGCATATACATAGAGAAGGAGATGGAAAAACGGCGATGTCAACATTAGAAAATATCCACCCAAGGATTGTAGCGCGTATTAGACAGTCTGAGATAGTTTCGATTTTATTTATATAGAAAGATATGCGTGTGTACATATCGAACCGTGGACTCTAGCTGTACATTTACGAGCGCTTGTATATGTTCCGTTAGTTAGCAGTACGCAATATCGCATAGTACTATCTTCAGGAAGGTCGAAAAGGGAAAGTATTACGAGAACGCGAAGGCACCGTCGTTATACTTACGTCTCTTACAGATCTGTCATGGGACACGTGAGACTTTACACTCATCGCAATTCGTTTCGTATAACAATCCCACACACGTGGCTAGTCTCCACAAGGTGTCGGAAAAGCGAGAATGTTGACTTGAAGATTCTTCTACGAATTATCGCGCGGAGAAAATGTCGGGTTTTTCATTTTTTCTTTCACGTCGGTACTGTAACGATCGTAAGAAAATTTCTCTCTCGGTTCACCCAAACCATTTATTTTCATCTTTGATATTCTCTCTTTTGATTATTCTTTTCGTTTTACTTTATATCGCGGTAAAAGAGAAACGCAACAAGACATCCGCTATCTTGAAAGCAATAAAACCGGTTTGTTAATAATGCAATTATATATATATATACAAGTACGTACCATCTTCTCTCTTGTTTGTATATTCATACGTAAGTATTTTTACATCTAAAGCGAGCAAAATTTTCATCGAGGGGAAATCATCAATATTGCATTATTTGCCTTTTTTTCTTACAAGATTACCTTATCAAGTGACGATTATTTTTGTATTTGCTTGCGTTTAAATAACATCTTCAAACGTTGATTACATGTACTTTCAGTCGGTCGATCAATTTCCTTCAATTTTATTCACCAGGTATCACATGTATCTCAACATTGTAAAGTTACTCGTATAATTCTCAAGCTTGCATGTATGCGCAAATATTAAAGTTTACATGGCGCCTGGTATAGTATAGTTTCGACCGAGAGATCGTTATAAGTTAAATTCCGATTAATATATACTCCAAAATTTCATTGGTTATTTAGAAAGAATCTTTCTTTGTACTGTATATGATGGAGCTGTGATTGTATTTTTTTTTTTTTCTTTTACCGGTGAAGCTTGGCGCTTAGCAATTATGCAACGCGACTGGACTTACAACGTTTATATAGAGATGTCATGGAAGTCGTACAAGTTAGAATTCTAGATACTAGGTGCACCAGACTATATATGCCTTTACATTATAACTTGGAATTACTCATATGATTTTCAATCTTGCACGTGCATGTAAGACTGAAAGTCGTATGAAACTCTAGGTAGTAAGCGGCATACGTATAATACTTGGTGTGTTTTTAGTACTGTGACCGCTCACTGAGCTCTTGGATCTGGTTGGTGCTTACTTTTGGATCTGATTCTGAGTTAAAAGTATAAACTACAATCTGAACGACTCAGCTGAGTGTTTATGTACGAAGTGGTCCCTGTGAGTAACCACTGAAATAAAATCGACATAACATTAATTGATTTGATTGTTTTTACTCATCGACCTTATCGGTGTTGGAGGAAAGTATGCGACTTCTAGAACACAGCGTGTATAATCGATATATTAACTGTTAACCATCTTGTTGAGATTTTATTACAAGGCCGTTGCCACTTGTAAATGTACGTGCGAGAAATGCGGTTTCTAAGTGCCAGGCTGTTATCATAGTGTTGTTATCATAGTCATGCATAGTTACTCCACCAGGAAGTATCCTACATATTTTAGAGAAACACAAAGAAGTCTGGAAATCATGCCAAGTTGTAAATCGTGTACAGATACTAAATAGAGAGAGAGAGAGAGAGAGAGAGAGAGAGAGAGGGAGAGAAGGAAAAAGAAAAAAGTCATTATGGAATAAGCGATAATTTTTTTTATACGAACGGAAATAAGAAATAGGGAAGGAGGAAAAATAGAGCAAGAATAAAAGAGAAAGAGCAAATTTCGTGTATCCACGAGAAGCGAGCGTTTCGTTAAAGAAGACTGATGTTGTACAATTACTTAGCGTATCCTGAGAAAATTAATGCGTAGATAAATACCTAAGTATATATTACGGTGATAGTGATTAATCGATGTTTTCATGAAATTATCGGCGACTCCGGCGCAGAATCGCTCTGTAAGTGTAACGAAAGTTTGAAATTCAAATCACTTGCCAGTAATCGCAGATAAACTATTGAGTAGTGGCGTGTTAACGTATAACATAGTCACACAGTCACGATCTGTCACCACGAATCACATCGAAACGATGCGTTTACTTTACGCGTTGAATTTTCCGAGGTCATCCGATGGTTTGTTAAAATAACCGTATGTAACTGTGCGATGAATCATTGAAATTGCTCGCTTTAATATGATTCAATCGAAATCGTGGCACGATAATCCCGTAGAATTGCTGAAACTTTCATAAAATCAGCGTATTAACTACCTTCACCGTAATGCATACGATCTTGCGATACCCTGTAAAACAGCTGTAATGTATGAATAAAAATAAAATTTATGTGTATATTAAACATGTATCTATTTTTAAGTTAACTTGTGTAAGTCTCTCCAAAAGTGGCGTGATTATAAACACCATGGTTGATTGACTCGCTGAGCTCCGTTCTTCTAATAATGTCTAGCGATCAATTCCCCGAGTCCATGAAAAGCTTACATGTATTTCCATATTGAATCGATCACAGCTGACTTTCACCAAATTCCGATTAAGTTAATTCAAAATCATCGTTAGTGAAGTGTTACCTGCTTTCTCTTATTAACAAAGATTGGCATTGGCGATTCTCATTATTCATCGATTAGCTTAATCAAGATTTGGTGAGAATCACTTTGATATTCTAATATTAAAAATTAATTAACGTAATATTCCAAGAGGAAATGAATATCATATCACGCAGATGTTCTTTCATTTTTTAATATAACTATTGCAAAGATTATGAAACGATATACGACTCCGGTTTTGAAAAAAAAAAGAGAAACCGATTATTTCGATGAATCGATGAACGAATCGAGTCGAGACTCGAGGGCAAGGTCGATCGCATCAAAGCAAATGGCGGCGCGTAGAGGCACGTAGCGAGCGGCTGATTATTGTGTTGCGGGGTAGCCTACAATACCCTTCCTGCGAGGAACATGGAAGTCGTGAACGATGACGAGATGGTGAATAATTTGGCACACGTGGAGCGACTCGCGGGCAATGAGTGTCGCACCTGCCTGCAATCCTGTACAGAAGCGTGCCAGCTCTTCCAGAATAACGACGGAATACCGGAGAAGCTGATGGACATCGCCGCTGTACAGGTTAACTATCGCACGTCACTTTGAATTTCAAATCACTGTTTCGCGCTTTCCATCGAACGCACGAAGATTCTCTTCGTACAGAGGAAAAATGTCATCGCTCGTGTTGTTTCTCCTTGCATCCGCTCGACGAACTCGACGAACCGCGTACGAATGTTGTATCGTTTTTGTCGTGGTTGGGATTCCTGTCACATTGTTCAGGATGGGGCAAGGGTGTTGTTTGTATTGTCAATTCCGTTGGAAAATCAACGGGGTCCTTGGTTAATGTCCAAGAAAAATTGGAAACAGGCGAGTCATACTCGATGATATTCGAATTGCCCATTTTCAATTACTCTTTTCAGCCAAGTGTTTAGAGACTCGGAAGACAGGATGATTTTTCAAGTTCCTAAAATATCCTTGAAGTTTTCGTCTTTCCTGAACTGTGATTTTTGTAAGAATACGACAGAATGCAATTAGGAAAGTTCAAGAAATTGCATACACTATGACTGGAGTCCCTGAAAATATCTTGATATATTCGTGTATAATTATTCCATATCAGCAGAGAGAGATATGCATTCTATGAGTTCAAGCGGGACGACATTTGAGAATAGAGAAAAATATTCCTAAGTAAGAAAGAGATTCAAAACTGAATACAAGTTATAGAATTTAAGTGAAAATCATGGAATTAAATCGCATTTGTGCAAAATATATCAGACGTGATTATTTCGGAATTATAAGCGAGTATTTTAGAAATATACTGAGTGGATCCAGTTGATTCATACGATTTGATGGATTAACATTAGTGGATTTGCTCATTTTATTCATTAGAAAAACTATCTATTAATAAGGTAACGCCAAAGAACTATCAAAGAAATTATAAAAGGAAAGACAGAAAATGTTAAGTAATCAATGGACGAGTTGGTTACACACGATGAGAAGCTGTTTGCATCGCTGAACGCATTTGTCCGCGTATTTCCTTTTTTCTGCGCACAGTGACATTTTCGTAAAGCCAAACAAACAGTATGAATAATAAACGTTAAACCAGATTTTCACGGATTCTAGGTTGAGGAAGGAGATGGTCTACCGGCCTGTATTTGTTTATCTTGCTACCGCCTGCTGAACTTGTCCTACAACTTCAAACGCCAAATTCAAGACGCTGACGTGAGATTACGTGGAATCTTGAAGCTGCAAGCTCATCCTGTGCCACACGATAAGCCGCACACGAATGGCGCAACAGTCAAATATATCGTCACCGATATTATATCCAACGTTACCTCTTGTACAAAGGACGATCTGGTAAAGCAGGAAATCTACGTTGCCCACGATATCGTGACGTTCCACGATACCACCGTTCCGTCCAATGCGAGGGTGAACGACGAGGAATCTCGCATTAGTCAGGAATTCCTGCGGAAGACGGACGAGATCGAACTGGAGCAAAATGAGGAAGACTCGCCGTACGACGCGCTCAAAGAAAATGTACGTAACACCGAACTGGAAGTAACTTTCGGACAGACGCACGCGAAGGAGATGCTCGCAGGTGCACTTGACGATCACTCGAGTCACTTGTCCGCTCCGTCGACGAACGATAAATGTGTAAAACAGGAAGACATGATGTTAACCCAAGGGAACGATGCGTCGGGGAATTTGGCGGAAGACAGCAGGATGGAAGATCTGCTGAAGATCGGTGATAAGAGCGACGTGTCTTTGGAGGATCTCACCGACCATGATGTCTCGAAAGCGCTGGGGACGGACGGTCAGGATATAAAAGGTGGGGCAAACTGCAGCGACGACGAGGAGAAGCCGCTGATATGCAGGACAGCCAGGCAGAGGTGCTTGCACTGCATCAAGTCGTTCGCGACCAAGCTGGCGTTGCAGAGACACATGATCGTGCACAAGCACAAGACGAAGCTGCGCTACGTCTGTCACATATGCGACAAGCAGTTCTCCAACATCGCCAAACTGAAGAGCCACGTGCGTAGCAGTCACGAGGCGCGCAAGGCGGACGTTGAAGTGCCGCAAGAGAACAACGCTCAGGAGAAGAGGGCTAACAGCAAGACGTCGGTGAAGCTCACTAGGAACTGCAGCAACGCACTGGTGGACAGCACGAGGGAGGAGAAGAGGAACTTCAAGTTCACGTGCAAGGTCTGCTCGAAGCAGTTCATCTATCAGAAGTCCTTCATCTCCCACGCCAAGAGCCATCCCGAGTACAACGAGGAGACGACGACGTCGGACGACGTCCTCGAGCAGTCCGCGAACAAGGCGAACGAACAGCGAGATAAGGCGCCCGTCTTCCGGGAAAACGAATCCGAGGAGGAGGAGGAAGAGGACGACGAGGACGACAACGACAACGAGCTCCCGATCGAGAGTCTGCAATGCACGCAGTGCGGCAAACTGTTCGCCACCAAGAGGAACCTGAAGAGACACATCTCCACGCACAGCGGTTTGAAGTTCAATTGTTCGACCTGCGGTAAGGGTTTCTCCAGGGTCGATAAGCTCAAGGACCATGAACAGTCGAAGCATAAAGAAGAAATATTCGGCAACACGGACGACGAGGATGACGACGAGGAGGACAATGAAAACAAAGTCAACGAGAACTCCGAGAGTCGGAAGAAGGTGAGACTATGTCTTAGTATTGGGCCGTTCTTTTTTTCGAGTTGAATGTGACTTCGCAAGGAGATAATATCCACGTTTAGCAGAACGTTTATTCTATAACTGTTGGAAGTTTTCTGAGCCGAGATTGGATTATTCTTTCAGACATAGAGGAATAATCCAGTTTCAACATAAAAACTTCTAAAAACAGTTGTATGATAAACGTTCTGCTGGGCGTGGCTGCGTTCAGTAGAGAAAGAAGCTCAGTAGTTTTTGTCCGCGACTGGAGTGTTCTTTTGTGTCCTTGATAATCCTTGATAAAAGGAGAATGGACCAATCAGAAGCAATAATCATTAAGCGTTCACTGAGCTATTTCCTTTGCTGATCGCAGGCACTGGCGAAGTATTGCTAAATTGGTCATATGGAATTTAGCGTACAGAAAAATCTCGCCATTTATGAAACCTTTAGTCGATAAATTTGTCGGTAAACTTTCAAATCGACGTAAATGATAATTGCAGGAATGCAGTTTCACAAAAATATTTAATATACTTCAATGTAGACTTGTATATCGATAATACATCGAGATAATCGTAAATTATAAAATTAATACTTATTATATAACCTAATCCAGATATCAATATCGAATGGCTAAAGATGTTCGATAATGTTATCCTTCTTCAATTATTTCCGGGCCTCTCGAAATCCGTATACCCGGAAAATTTACTCAGAGTTGAGAGTCTTTAATATTACCTCGTCGGTGACGCAGGCAATGTCTCAAACCCTATAATAATAATGACAAGCCTTTCCCGAAATTAAACATAAATTTCTATAACCTCGGCAAATAATTGTATTATTTATCAATCAACGATATAATTTCGCACGATTTCTACATGAATCGTTCATTTTTACCATCCAGTCTCCATGAGGCCAAAAGCGACACCGTTTCCGCCAACTCTGTTTACTTCTCCGAGCGCGAGCGTCTCCAACAAAACGACCACAGCAAGTCTCGTTCTCGTTTTCAGGACCGACACAACAGACCGCACACGTGTACGCTCTGCCCGAAGGCGTTCGCGCAGGCTCAATCGCTGGCGAACCACATGGAGAGGCACAAGCGGGTGAAGGACACTCAGAAGCGCTTCCTCTGCGAAGTCTGCAGCAAGTGCTTCGCCCAGAGTGGCTCGTTGGTCGCACACATGCGCACCCACACTGGCGTCAAGCCGTACGTCTGCAACGTGTGCAGCCGCGCCTTCACCAAGAGCACGTACCTGCAGCTGCACCTGAGGACCCACAGCGGTGAGAAACCGTACATCTGTCAGTATTGCAGCAGGGCGTTCGCCCGGGCCAACACCTTAGCGCGACACATCACCATGCACACGGGCGAGGCCAAGTACCACTGCCAGATCTGCACCAAGTCCTTCCGCAGACTGACATCGCTGAACGAGCACACGTACACGCACACCGGTCAACGGCCGTACGCGTGCAAGCTCTGCACCAAACGCTACAACAACGCTGGCTCGTTGTACGCGCACACGAAGAAGTGCAAGACGCAGCAGCTGACCGGCACCACCACTACGTACGCGGTCTCCGCGGACAGCGCTCCGCCGCAGAACGACGGCCCGATGTCGCAGCTGCTCATCTACTCGCAGAGGAAGCTGGTGGAGGAGGCGACGGTCGGCGGGCAGGTCGTGCCAACGCCGCAGTACATGGTGGCGAACGTGCACAATCAGAAGACGGTGTCCGCCAACGTGATGCAACCGTTCACCGTCGAGGACACGAGTGTGTACAACGCGAAACAGTTCAAGAACCCTTACTACGCGATCTACCCGAATATGTAACGACGTGTCGTCGCCGAATACGCGACCATGCCCGATGGTTGCCTGGTCTTTCGGCTGCCTGGGGTCATCAATGACTCGTGCTCGACCCTCGACTCGTTCCGCGAGGTCCCGCAGAGGATCGAACTGAATCGGTGAACTCTCGGTAACGGTACCGGAGAGTGAACACGCGGCTCCTAAAGCAATGATCTCGAGGAAGAAAGCGGCGTGCTCCCTCTGTCTCGCACATATTACCCGAGCTGAAAATGTCAGCCCGAAGGTGGACACGGTAAAGTTGCATATCCGTACCCGGTACTGCGGGTATCGTAGGAACTCGGGGAGACTTGTACATACTCTCGGGAAACATTAGGGCAATGGACTGTAGCATGTTTCAGAGAAACGGACAGCGCCGTTTCAAGTACCAACTAAAAATACGCTTTGGAAATGTTTTTTTGTTCAATAGACACAACCGGCCCGATTGTTCAACCCTAGAATACTAATCCTTTGCTTGGAGCCTTCTAACTCCAATATTCATTTTGATCTGACACTACCTGGATACCCGATCTTTCAGATAACGGATAAATGTGACGCTCCAAATTCGGATGATCCAAATAATACAAGTTCAGATCAGAGCCGAGATTCGAGGCCGGGGTCGAAATCGAAGCTAATGGCGTTTTCGATTTGCTGACCCAATTCGAGCAGCGTTCTCATAAATGCTGCAATATCGCAAACTGTAATATACGAACTGTAATATATGAATTATAGATTCGTAATAACTGCAGAGATTATAGGAACGTTGCCCGAGTCGGGTTGAGTCAGTAAATAAAATTGCCAAAATTTGCGATGGAGTCGACCAAATGGAGACGATCGCAGTAACTTAAATAAAATTGACGTTGACAAAATCTTGAAACAGGAGGTTAAGGAAAGCTCCATGGCAAGTTAATTTTACGACTATTTATTTTTGATTGTTGGAGTATAAAATATTTATATTACAATATTACATTCGACCATTGTTACAAATGTGCCGAATCGATCACAAATATCTGAATATATTTCTTTATTTGAACATATGATGCAAGGATTCATGACATGCGTTTTTTCGCTTCTGACGTCATCACACAAGATTGCAGTGAATAGTCAGGAGCCTTAATGCATTCTCTAAGAATAGTGATATCGAGAATTTCCAATCAGGCATATCATTCGTGAATATTTATGCATCAAGACTGCTGCTTTGGAGCATCGTTGCTGACTCATCAATATCAGCAGTCATGACTATTAGGATATAATGCGTCTTTTGTTGTTAATTTTGTCTCATTGGAAATGTTTGATGTCACTTTACTTAGAAAATAGAACTGCATTAATGGAGTCTTCTCAGTCAATGGTTTTCACGCCACTTTTAGAGACACTTTTATCGATAAAAGTGAGTTCAGAATATAGATCAAAGATTTTTTAATACATGACATATATATTTTTTCGCAATATAAAACAAATTGTGAAAATTGGAGTAAAAATCAGGAGAGAGAGGAAGGTTCGTAAAAAATATCTACACCTCGGAGACGCACGTTGGTATTCTAGGGTTAACAGTGGTTTCTCCTTCCAGTATATTGTATGCTTCGATGGATCGAACTGACAATTTTAGGTAATTCGAGAATGAAGGAGAAGGAAGGCAATAAAAAAAAAACACAAAAAAAATAATTCATCGTTAGAAACGTGGAGCTCATGGAAAATTGGCTCGATAAAATCCCCGATATTCGGCGGATTTAAGTTTATTCCAGCAGAAATGAAAGCAAATCATGTAAATGATTGTTTCCTGACGACAATTGTCGTATATTGCGAAACAGACAAAGTTTCGCAAACACAATTCTTCAATCGGTAGGTGGATTAAGTAAATAACGATGAAATTAGTATAAATGCTCCCATTTATATACGCGAAAAGAAGGCATAAACAATTTAGCCTGGCTCTGTTGTGATATTTATCTGACGTCTTAACACGTGCGGTATCTAGCGCAGTGTACAGTTCGTAATAGTATTGCGTTAAAACCAAAAAAGTGAATTGATCGTATTACCTCACTAACACAGAGAACCGGGACTCGAAATATTTAATTTGCTCTATAATATGCACGATGTTTTCTTCTTCGAAAGTAGAAACATTGTGAAAAAGATGTGAAAGTAATAATGTAAGGCGGCAAAATTCCATCTTCGGAATATAAGATAACATTCTTCCTCGATACGCAGGATCAGATTTATTTGGTTGAAGAATTCATTCAGAGATATTTTATTGCGGAAGAAGACCGCTGAGTGAGTGCAGTAATATTTCACGGATAACTCAGGTTACAAAAAAAAAAACGTTAGATTCTTGACATAACAATGTACAAAATATAATGAAAAATGTGACACATACACACATATACATACAAAATTAGGAGATATGATAAAGATACCAATAAGTCTTCATACAAGGAATCTGTATAAATAAATGAATTATATGTATATTATTGGATAGGATAATTTTTCTCTTAATTATGGATAATTATGGATTCCTCGTCGAATTATACATATATATCTATATATGCGTACAAAGTGTGCCCTTTCAAAAAAGTTGTATAAAATAATAACAGATCTTTTCTGTTAGTGATAATTAATGATGAGAGATTGTAATTGATCGTAACATTTTATTATCGAAATGTTTCAACACTAATATGCCCTTAGAATGCAATATTTGTCAACATTATATTGTTTATAATTAATGTTGGTTGACATTTACTAAAAGTGATTTTATTTTGTTAAATCATGTATCTCGATAAAATTAAGGTTAGATACATGCTCTTTTCTTGCAGGCAAAAACGCGAGATTGGGTAAGAGAAAAAGATTTTCATAATCATATAGATATAAAAATTTCTCGGCATGAAGACTGGAGTACAATAAATTATTATTTTTAATATAAGAGTAGACGGTCATGAAAAGTCTCGAGAGTGTAAAAATAATACTTCACTTAAATCGTAATTGACATGAAAAGTGACAACTTTTCTTGTTGCAACAAAATAAAACTGGCAACCGGTGAGAAATTGATTTTATATTAGGCTTTCACACACATTGTGTAATTATGTATAACATACATAATAAAATCGATCTTTGCACGAGTTTTCTTAATGATTATTATTACTTGCGTAATGTACAGGGTGTATCGAAAAAAAAAAACAGATCGACTATAAATATATAAATAGTTGTAAATAGTATTCGAGATAAATTATATTACGTCTTTGTAAAGGTAGCAGTTCCAGAAGTAATTCGCTTATACTTTTATGCAGTATGTCGGATATCGATAAAGCTAATACATACACACACACACACACACACACACATACACACACACACACACACAATGCAATATTTTATAATAAAGTTTCTAGAAAAATTATTCTGTCCTGTGTTTCTATCCTCGGCAACAGAGATTCACCTTAGACACCGAGAAAAATCTACCGTCTTATGATTTTTGTTCGCAATAGTGTTATTAAAAAATTAGAGTTTGGCGGGCGGTGATGCAGCGAACGGTGCGACCCAGCATCACACGCATGACGTTATCATGTCTTGTATATTTTATTCATATTTCATATATATTTCATGTATTTCTTATTTACATATTTCATGCATATTTCATGCTATTATTTTATTTTGAATTTATTATCAGAACGCTGTGGCACTATCGATGTTTCCATCGCACGGCATTCCAGCGAGAAGCGTTAAGCATGGTTCGATTTACACCATTTGAGTCCTAAACTCCACTCATGAATCTCCCTCGGAAACCCGTGGAAAAATCGCCGATTCTCGACATACATACAGGGACTAGCATGAAAGAAAAATGATTGCCCGCTGTTTTCGGGCGCGGAAATATTAAACTGTATTCCTACGGGTCTTCGAAGCTGAAAGGCACTGCAGGGTGCGGAGGGCGATGTGTCCGAGATCACTAACCAATATTTAATCAACTTTGCAGGAGAATATTATTCTCCGGACAAATCAAGGACATATGTATCAGACCGTCAAGGGGGAACTAGCATTGTTCGCGTGTGTTGATACCGAAGCACACGCACATTTGTGTATGCGTCGCCTTCGGAGCATGCAGTGGCGTAATCTTGTAAAAATCTTGAAGTTGTGAAATTACAAAGCGTTAACGCAATCTGGATCGAATGTCATTAAGCAATTAAAAAAAAAATTAGAGAACTGTTTTAACCGTAATGTGTGTACATGTGTACATGCGTATCTCGTAATTACGCATTTTTCTGAGAAATGCCTAAACGTTGATCATTTCTTGTTGACATCGAATTCTCGAGATTTAATTCAGGAGGAAAGAGTTTGCTGCAATGTGCTACTTACGATTTATGCACGAAGCGTCAGACGCCTTAATCGAGTGTGATCAATTTTTTATCTCAATTATATTGAGAAAAAATTTTGTTTACATTGAGAAAAAAATTGTTTTTTATTTGTAATCACAATCACACAAGTAAAAGAATTATAATCAAAAGAACCATTTTCCCAATAAGCGTTAATGTACAATGAACAATTTTGTGTTAAAATCGACCCATGGAAATTTCTATGTTACTTTAACAAGGTATGTTAACTTATAAGACGCATTTGTGTACTTTTTAATATATTTCCTGTGTTAAAGTAACCTAAAAATTTCAATGGACCATTTTTAATACAAATTTTTTTTCTGTGTAACCTTACATGCACATTAGTACTGCTATCCTTTGAGATAAAATCAGAAGAAGACACAGTTGAGGTCGAAAATGACTATATTTTAATGGAATTTCTTTCAGTGTATCCTTCCAACTTAACGTGTGTTTTACGTCCGTTCGTCAACGGGGGGTGGCTGCATTTCCGATATCAGCATCGACAGATTGTCTCGTGTATTGCACGTGAAATTGATCAGAAAGGTTACGCCTATGCGACCTATGTTCGATACGTTACGTACGTGTGTGTATGTATGTGTGTGTGTGTGTGGGTTTCGCCCGGAGATGGCAGCGCGCGACACACGTTCCACGTGCCGGGAATGGTATTCTCTCGGGATAAGATTCAAGGAAGAGGGTGGAACACACCGCGACTGCTCTCATCGTGGCGCTCTCGTGAGAACAAGTGCAAAACAAATGTCGCACAGGAGCTGCTCGACCGATGCGATGCGCTCGTGAAAATTGTTTCTCTAGGTTGAAATAAATCAAATTCCCCCTTGCCCCCTCCCGCCCCTTTTGCCGTCGACCCTTGTAGAACCTACCACGAAAAGGATATGAGAAACTCCAATTTGTTTGCGCAGGGTACCGTCTTACCCGGAGAGATGAGAGATGTACACGGCGTCTTCTGGAATTATCGCGTTACTTCGCACTGATCGTACGGCGGATTATTCGATTAATTCGTCCTCGAGGACTCCGAGGGCTCCGCATCCGGTGAGTCTAAACGCCTTCCTCGGAAAGTTACTCTTTAAAAGTAGCCCGGTAAGTAACGATAACCGTTATCGTTACTCAAGAAATAACGAGTCGTTATAATTTTCGTTACTTCTATCTCATCGAGTTTTGAAGACCGTATTTTTTTACAATTCGCCCTCGTCCTACTATAAACATTTTGCATATGCATTTTGAATATAACAATAAAAATAACGATTACATTCGTTACTCGGAAGATGCAATCGTGCAACCGTTACCGTTGCTAACGAAAGAAAGTAACGCTTTTAGCAAGTCGTTACTGAAGGAAAGTAATTTGAAACAGTAAGGGTGTTAGAGTTCTTCAAGTAAGTCTGACCTCCTCAGAAAATGTGCCTGAATTCAGCATATTATAGACACTCTTTATAAATAAAGATGTTCTAGTGACAAAGCAGACGCCATTTTTTTATTCGAAAAATGGGAAATGGTCTTGAAAAGCTAGATGTTACAAATGATATATTGTTTCCCATTCCTTGTACTTTCCAATGCTACAATCGAATTCATGACGTCGCTCTCCCTCGCTGCTCGTTTCTCATTTTTGACACTTTTTACTTTACCAATTCAAACTCGCGTTCTGACGAGTTAAAATTCAATGTTAACGAAGACTTTAGTCACCCACCACATGTCCGGTTTGTCGGAAGTCCTTCGAGAGACATTTTTTTTATTGACAAATTCATCGAACATTTTTCCTAATCGTAACGGAATCTCGACTACAAATTGATGTGAAGACAAATCTATCGGAAACATCACGATGATTATTTCACTGCGGGGGGTCATCGGTGATTCTCACGGCGCCACTAAAAAATCAGCGGCCGGTCACCGATGACCGCCATAGCAGTCAACGCGTTAATCGCAGACTGACGAGAGCCACACTTATCAGCAACGATTATCAGCAACTATTATCTAGATTCAATTCGTTCGGAACAATTGGCCTCTCCGATACGTTCGACAATCCCGTGACAAATGACGACATTACCTTCCCTTTGACCTAATATTAACTCTTCACGCTCCAACCGCTCTTTGGCTGGTCCTAAGGCTTACTTGAAAAGCCGAAAACTGCGGTCGCGGCATTTCTCAAGTCTGACAAGAAATCTCGAATGACACTGCTACGGCACTCTCAGAACGCAAAGGGTTAGAACTTTTGACCCCTCACTGCAACCGTCCTGTTTTACGTCGGAATGACGTCAGAGGCGGGAAGACGTGTGCCAGGAATTCTTGTGTTATATGTTCAAATAAAAATATACTCACAAAATGACATTTGTGATCGATTTAACACACTTAAAAAATTGTCCGAATACTTTTCCTTTATTCGAACAATCAATATTCGTAAAATTAACATTAATAAAAACATGAGAAAAAGGTTAAAAAGGAAGATTTTGTATCAAGTGTTGAGTTTATAGCTCTTTTAGACATCCTGAGACCACATTTAAGAAGACAAAATACATCATTTAAGGAGTCAGTAGGACCTGAAGAAAGACTCGCATTCTATATAAGGTATGCATTTAATTTTTATTTTAACTAAAGATATAATAATAATAGTTTTATAGTCGTTATAAAATTATCTTGTGGAAACTTTTTTAATGAGTTACAGTAAACTGTGACAACCTTTTGCATAAGATATTAATTTTCGTTGAAAAATCAATAGTTGGAATGTAGGAAATTCTAAACGTATATTTATTTCCTGAAAAAATACGTATTCAATAGTTATGAACGAAAATTGAGGAAACTGTTAACAAAAGCATCAGAGGTTTGGGCATTAGTTGAGAATCCACTGTCGCAGAAGGAATTGGGTTAGCGTTGGTCTGTGGACGAATAGTTGGTCGGTTCTTGGACATTGAAGTTGCATTGATGTTTTTGGAAAACCGTGTTGGGCGAAGAAGGAAGAGTGTGCGGAGAACATCACTTTACAGCCTCATTTTTATTCTACTCGCTATTTGAAATAATCGCGTCTTTATCTGAATTTTATTCCGAATAGGAAAGTTTATCACAGTTCACAGTTAAAACGGGAAGGTCAAGAAGTAACTGCACTCCTCTTAAGTAACCAGCACGATCCGTTAACTGAATTTTTCATTAATGTTGAGGATGGGAAGGAAAAGATGAGGAATGTTTCGTCACAACAGATGAATGCAGCATCAGTTCTGCTAAAACTTTCTAATAGAACTGATGCTGCATTCATCCGTTGTAGCGAGGCATTCTTCATCCTTCTTTTCTCCCCACGAACATTCTTCGATGAAGTGGAGGCTAAACTTTGTATGTCAGTCGTAGAGTAAGGTGTAGGAGCTATAAAAGCTGGAACGGTCAGAAATCGATTTGTCCTCTTCCCGTCCGTCCTTCCAATTAGTATCAACAGATCCAGGTGCAGGCAAGAGGTTCGGTCGCTATTCTTCCTCATCGTTAAAGTATGGAGTCAGGAACGCCAGTTCTTTGTCGAATTTAGGAGACTTCATTTTCGATGCTGTCTGCCCACTTTTTGTTTTTCCGCAAATTCAGAGCTTCGCGATGGTTATCTCTGACGGTCCATCGCTCTTTGCAAAAACCGTATCTGGAAAAAATTTACAAAAAATGGAACTTTCCAAAACTCAGTGACCGCCCTCGATGGCAAACACGTGCTTCAAACACTACCGCACAGTGGCTCGGATTTCTTTTGTTGTAACAAACACTTCAGCTTCGTGCTAATAGCATTAATCGACGTTAACTATAACTTTCCGAAGTTCTAATTTGGATAAGCGACTTAACTGTGAAAATTTGCACACGCCTCCACTAAAACAACTCCCAAAGGGGTAATGAAACCTTGCCACATGTCATCATTGGGATGAAGCTTTCCTATTATGCACATATTTAACAAGATCTTATTTTTCGTGACGATGTGACAGAGGAATGAAGAGAAAAAGATTTTCAACTATCGGTTAAGTCGCGCGAGAGAATTCTGCAAGAGAATGCGTTTGGGATCTTGACACTAAAATTTAGAATTTTTGAACGTAAGTCGAGTACATATGAATATCTTTCTGTTGTGATGGTTACTTGTTGTCCACACAACTTCTCAGAGGATGGCACTTCTCATTGGATGGAGATCGATTTACAAATTTCTATTTCTGACATGAGAGGATTGCACAGGAACGGGTGATATTTCACATCACGATGCTTTAGAAATCGGAGATTGATTTTGAAAAATGCTTCAGAGACAGGATCAGCGGAAAGGCAATTAAAGGCGGTTCGAGCTGGGAAAGACGACTGCCGTAATTCAATGTAAATTATTTTCAAACACAGCATAGCGTTTCTCGCCGCGAATAGTTAGTCTTAAATCGCACGATCAAAATCACAGCTGAGTATAAATCGATAATAACAAATTAATAAGTATAAATTAATAATATTAAGTGCATATTACATCCTATTTGTTTTGTAGGTATCCTATTTTAACCGGATTTCCCTTCCGCCTTACTACCAATTAATAAGTAATTAATTTTTATAACATAATTTGTGACTTACAATGAGCGTCGGCTCGCGACGCGGGGTTGTAATCCAGCCGGTGCGTCGTCACGCGCGGCACGCACGGCAGCACGGCACGCCACGCGGCAGAGAGAGAAAGAGAAAGAAAGAAAAAGAGTGAGAGAGAGAGGGAGAGAGAGAGAGAGAGAGAGAGAGCAGGTGAAAACAGGTGCGAAGGTCGCCCCGAAGGCCGCGCAACGGGACGCGACACAGCCCTGCAGGCTCCTCGCGTCCACTGGAGCGGCCAGGACCGCGCGGCGGTATCCTTCCGTCCTGCCGGTGTCGTCGTCGTCGTCGTCGCGCGGGATCGATCGTAAAGCCGCGGGGTGGGGTAGCCGGAGGGGTGCGTCATCGAATGATAGCACTCATTCGGGCTGATGGCCGTTTGGGGAAGAGGGCCGTCTGGCCTGCGAGCCGACGGGGGTGGCTCTGCGGCTGGGGGTAACCGGGAGGGTGCAGACGGCGTAGCGCGGCGCGAGGGCGGCGTTTCCAACCCCCGTCTTCGCCGCCGGCACGGCGGCGAATCAGCTTCCGGTGGGCGAACGCTCCGCGAAAAGCAACCCCCGCGGGGCCAGCCACGGCCACACCCATGCTCTCCTACCCGCGGCACCGGCGGTTATTGAATTAAGCTTATCATTTGATTTTGAGGAGACCCACCAGTCGGTCGTACGGGGCGCTCTTAAGCGGGCCGAAAAACTTCTTCCTATCCACGGTGTAATCGCAATAATTTGATATCGCTGATCCGATTACGCGTCATAAGCCGCGTATCGAGGAGCCCTGCCGGCGGCACGGCCCGGTTTCGCCGAAGCGTCGCCGACGACAGAGAGCGGCTCGTGCCGCTACTCTACCGCTCGCGGTCTACCCGGGACTTTCCCGTGGTCGAGCGGGCCCAAGAACGCGCGTGTGGCCGAACGGGCCCCCGGACTGCCGTACGAACCCGTACTCCGCTTCTTCTCCTTCTTCGCGTGCGCCCGGACCTCGCGCCCGACGTAACGAGTGTGTTGTTGTTGTTGTTGTTCCCTCTCCTTTCCCCGTCGGGGAACTTAAGCTCTCTCGCCGGCCGCGCACGGGAACGTATCCTCGTTTCCGGGGACATTGTCGATGTGCTGAAGAACGTGACGCGACCACGCCGACCTTTGCAAGTGACGTTCGACATCCGGGGGACTCTCTCTCTCTCTCTTTCTCTCTCTCTCTCTCTCTTTGAACCTCCCGACGAGGTCCGCACAGCCGGTTTCGCTGAGACACCGGAGTGTCGTCGACGTAAGCAACACCAAGTGGATCCCGACGAGCCCACGGCGGCACCATGGACTACTCGTATCTGAACCAGGCCGCGGCAGCGGCGGCCGCCGGCTTCGAAGCGTCCAGCTGCGCCCTGGCCGCCGGCGAGATGCAGTGCAGCTACGGCGACCTGAGCTCCTGCTCGCAGATGAGCCAAGCGGCATACCGCTACACCGCGGCACGAGCCGCCGGCTATCCCGGCAACGCTGCCGCCGCCGGTGCCGCCGCCGCCGCGGGCACGCCGCTCGCGGCCCATCACACCGCGCACCCCCACGCTCACGCGCACCATGGGGCCCACTCGACCCCGTGCTCCGTCATGGCCGCCAGGTCCCAGGAAGTCCACCGGCACGCCGCCTCCATCTTCCCCTCGGCCATTAATCTTCAGAGTGAGTGTCCACGTTCTCGAACCGCAGCGGTCTCAGATTGATATTCCCCGGTCGAAAGGCCATTTCTTCAAGTTTCACCTCACGGGTTGATGTAAACCGCAGTTCCACCATGTCCTACTGTCAAGAATGGCCGTAAATTGCTAGAGGAGAAGGTGGTATTACGTTCCCCTCTTCTTTCCCCACCCCCTCCGCATCTTAATATCTCCGGTGTTAAGTGACGAAGTTTGGAGATTACTTATGGAATCGTTTATTTAGTAGCGCGCCGTTACGCAGCGACGATAATGTGCCGATACACAATAGCCGGGATTTGTCATGACGCATTTTTACCCTCGAGCATCTTCCAAGTACATTTTAATGTTTAATTACACACACTTCTTCATACTTCTTAAACTTTGGTATATTATCACATGTACACTTGAGTGTCGTATTCGTTATTTAATGTTTTATTCTGTTGTAGACATTTCGAGTTGTTACACTACCGAAATCTGTTATATTCGGCTTGCGCTTTTCTGCGTTTTTTGAAAATAATTGACCTTTCTTAGATCCGTGTAACGTGTCCTATCGGATTCTATATAAAGTTTGGAGAGAATCGGAAAATGAAAATATTCAAAGTGACATAAAATTCTTCCTAAAATAACAAATACTTTTTTCATTCGAAATTATCATAAAAGAAGTGACGCGCTCTTTACAAAAAGCTATTCGTAAGAAACTGGAGTTATTTTGTATTTATCTAAAAAAAAAATGAGACAAATGTTAAATCACAGTTACTTTTTTCCTTTAAATTTTCTGTATATAAAAAATCATTTTTATCAAGATTCAGAGTGTTGACCAAACATTTTTATTTTCAAGCCACCGTGCGATCTTGCGTCAGCGCGACTCCTCGATTATTTAGCAGATAACACGTGTGGCGATAAACGTTTTTCTGTTCGTTTGTTCCTTTTTTGTTGACACGCTCGTTTCGCGATCGCTATCGTATAGTTTGTTTGTCAATTGTTTCATTTGATACGGTGGAGTCGAACAAGCCCGACGCTCGAGTGACTCGCCGAAGGTTTGACAGAACGTGCTCTTGGTACTCACTATTTTTTTGTCATTTTTGTGTGTATACGTGTGTGGAGGAGGGATGGTTACATTCCATGTGTTAGTGTTTCATGAGCATAAGCGTGTAATTTGGTTGAAACTTTTTTTGCACATTTCTTACCATTTAAGTCCCAATGCGCGTGTTGATTTCACGCGTTTAAAGGAACACGGGAATAAAAAGAGCTTCTGCCAATTACGCATATGCGAATAACAATACACACTCGGATTTACAGTGTATTCATTGTCTTTTACTTCGCAGACGAATGACGGACGAGATAGGATTAACCGGCCAACTCGTTCACGCGAATTACAGCGGACGTGCTATTACTGCTATTACGTGTTACTACGCGTGCTACTGCACTTTTAAAGTACAACCATAATGTATGACACCAATGTTTATGCACCCCGCTCTATAAACTGATAATGTGTTTGCCGATTCGACACAGCGTTGCGTTCTGAACGTAGCACGAATAAATCGAACGAATGAATTGTTGGCTCACAAGGGTGTAGTCGAAGTAGAATCGCGGACCGTGGAATTTTTTGGGACTGTAGTCGCAACATTCACACGGGGGAAATAATTTTGCTGTTGTAGTCAAACACATCGTTGGTACTGCATGTTCGTTGCGACAACAATAAAATTTAATTGGCATAACTAAATCAGCGAATTATTCGCAATTAGGACCGAAACAGTTTTTTTAACAGAATGGAAAATATTCTGATGGGTGAATTGATCCTTAAGACAAGTTAATTTGCTGTTAGAACAAAATAGAATTTTCCTACATTTACTAATTTCTTCATTTATAGCAAAATAATTTGTATATTCAGCACAATAATTCAGCAAATGGCAATTAATATTTTTTACCAAATCGTTTTGCTACATTTATAATAACTGACAGATTTTGTTGCGACAGCATGAAATTCGCTGTGCCAGCAAATTATTTTTCTCCGTGCACCATCGAAGCGACGTTATTATCGTAATTGCGTCATTTTCATTTAAAATAAGCGATTCGTTATATGTAACTTTATATCAACTTTTTTGCCAAGAAAAGGATTTGGTTTACGCTTTGATCTTGCCATACTTAGTCATCCAAGCTTAATTCTGTAATTTTCATCGTTCTCTCCCCCTTCTCTGATCTACATTTTCCACACCACACACTCTTATCTAAACTCGTTGTCTGATTCGTTGTATTTTTTGTGAGAGTTTATCCTCCCTTCGGAAATGTCAAAAGAAGGTCCGATGTCGTCTCTTAATACTTCTCCATTTTAGACGTTAAACACTTTGTCCGCTCTGTAAATATCCTCTTTCGTCGAAATTCCTCATTTCACTGCCAAGCGCAAGTTTCCTGAATTAACAATGCGTGAGCTTTAAGAAGTCTTTAAGAGTTGCATAACACGATTACATCGTTCGCATAAAACGCAACGCCCGATAAATGTACAGTTAAGTCATCGATAAACAGCGCGCGTGCTCGAGTTATCGTTGTTGAGAGGTTGTAGTTGAGGGATAACAGCGGGAAATAAAAGCAGTAACTTTGTCGAATCGTGGAGAAACCATAAATACAGGGTGTCTGACAATTACCGAGTGTAGACGACTGACGACGCGTGATGCTGGACTACATGTCTCCGCAGTCTAACATTCGTTGCCGTTGCAGATTATAAACAAACCCAAGACTCCTTCCTTGAGCCATGACTTCCGAGTTCATCCTATTGCTTTGTCGCGCACTTGCAACAAGTTTGCCAATTATTCTCTAATTAATTCCTTAATAATTGTCACGAAGATTGCGAAACGGTCGAGGACTTTTCCGTTCAGTTTTAACGCGCTCCACCACGTTGGCACGGCAATCGCCAGACATCCTGCATAATCATAAAATCGTGAAAAAAAGGCTCGGCTGCGCAAGGAAGAGGATGCCAGGATCCTGCGGATGCTTGAAAAGAGTCGAAGATAGGCGGAGAGTAAATCTTGTCACCGAGGTAACGCGCTCACCTTTGCGTTCGTGTTCTCCGCCCATTTTCTCCTGTCCCTGTAGGACCGTACTTCACGAGGAATCGATGGTCGATTCGTGGATGAAAGCCTTGATTGTGGAGGTGTGCTTACAAAAAAAAAAAAAAGACCGAGGACACTCGAAGGAGAGACGTGTAATATCGATCCGTACGACGCGTTCTGCGCGTGTGAAAAATTATGCGATGCTTTAGCCTCATCGAAAAAAATATTTGATATGTGTGATTATATAATACCACAACTATATATCGTAGTAAAAGAATTACGGTATAATGAGTCTTAAAATTACGGTCTAATGAGTATTACTATATTGTCGGTGGTAATAAACTTACATGCATATTGCATCTATTATTTTTATGGTTGAGACAAGGAAAGAGTACATAGTTGAGGCCGAAAATAATTATAATTTCTCTCAGTGCCGAATTTATCATCCTCCGTACCAAGTACGCGCGAATCTGCACGTTAGATTAAAAAGGCAAACGTTTCTCCCCTATCGTGATGATACATTACATTATTGCGGTTATACAATGAATAATGAACAACGTCGATATTGTACGGAGCAAAATATCCTACCACCGCATCGCATTTTAAGGACAAACTCCTTGATAAACTCGGTATCGACTTTCTCTCATTATCTAATATCTTGATAATTACTTAAGGTGTAAGCAAATTCGAGGAAATACCAACGATACCTTAAATTATTGCTTCGTTAAATTATTACTTCGTCGCTTCCATCAAACATTATTTCAACGGATATAAAATGCAAGTAAGAGTCAAACTCTGGTGCCAGAGCGGAACGATATTTAATGTCAAATGAAAAATGTTTATGTATAGTAAATCGACCGAACGTTTCGGTCCCAATCGTTTGAGCCCTTTTCAACGCGAATGAATAATGTTAAGAAAATAAACGTAACTATCTATGTAATGTAACTATAAAAAGAAAACGCAACTGAAACGTAACTATCAAAACGCTGATCAAAATATGTCAAATTAGTCCCGACTCTAAACATACGAGACCTTTACAAGAATGTAAAGAGAACAGATGTTTGCCATGTTATGTAAATTGAACACCCAATCAAGCGATAAAATATTAGATCGATGCAAAAGTTCGTTCCCCCTTTTCATCAGTTTTTCGTTCAGAAATCCTAGAATTTCTACGAATGTGGAATCATGCGGCTACCGAAGAGGCGAGTCATCAAACGAAACGGCGCTTAACTGATTACTCAATTGATTGAGAGAGATTGTATTTGAAATAAATAAATAAATATTATATGTGTATTTTGATTTTAAAAAACGGAACGAACTTTTGCTTCAACTCAATATTACTTTTTTTATTTTATCTTTTTACACGTGATTTTACGTTTCACGTTGCGAACGCCATTTTTTCTGAGCGGCCATGCCCTGCAAAATTGTCCAACGTTATTATCCGTTGTTTCATCCGACATTTGGACGCGAATACAACGTTTCATATTTTACACGTCCTCTCAAGTCACATCACTCGAGTCCAACTGAACGTCTTCGCGCACTATTTCGAATGAGCGAGCTCGTGAAATAGCGTGACATAAGCGACATCGCGTGTTGCAAATTAATGTTATAGCAGTGTCGCTCTCTCGTCTAGTAAATAAATAATAATACTATATTCGCACAATTCGGACTGCGCGACTCCGGCTTAACGGGAGCTCCTTTATACGTGCGTCAATCCGCCGGGCCATGAATGTGCGCGGAGCTTTGTTGTGTGTTTGTTTCGGCGATTTAGAAGGGGCTAAACGTGTCGCACGAGCAGGGACGCTAAGCTCCCTTCGTCCTAGTTGATAATTGATCTCGATTGAATTCAACATCGCACATGTGTTTCGCCGTGGCGCGTCGTCGGAGAATGTCATGCTGATAGATTATGCAATGTGGTAGTATCTGTCACGCTTCAATTAACGTTTTATAGACCGAACTCATTGGCCTGAGGAGTTGCTTGTAAGATCATTACCGGTGCGTGAATTCAATAGATACTTACATGCCCGATATGCTGATTATGCCACGCGGGATGCCTTCGTCGTTCGTGGTCATTTCCAAAAACGTTTGGACGATCAATTTCACTTTATTGGTTTCAATATATTATGTTGTAATATCGTTGAGAAATAACATAAACATTATATTAATGAAAAATCAACACAAAATTAGGATTCATAGTACGTTAATCGACACCGAAGTATAAAATGTATTATTTCAACACTTACACACATTGAATATGAACTCAATGTAAGGTGTTAAAAATGTAACACAAAAACTTCAACAAGGACCTAATTTAATCACAAGAACAAAACGTTTCTTATTGTGTATCGTGTCAATGAAATCCTAAAAAATGGTCCTCGAGGATCGCTCGACTGAAGATCGTCGAAATTGGACAAAGTCACCCGGACGTGAACAATCAGGGGATTTCGACAAGTGAGCACGCTTCTGTTGAAGCTTAGAGCGCAAGCTGAGTGAAGTTGAGGGAACAAAGGGTAACTAATTAGGATGTACATAACTTATACAAAAGCTTTGTGCTAACCTTGCGCGCGTTTCAATCTTGATTTCAGGCGGTCTGGGCTACAAGGCTTACTCGGGGCACGACGGTCTCGCGGAAAAGAGGAAACAACGTCGGATACGAACGACATTCACGTCGGCCCAGCTGAAAGAGTTGGAACGCGCGTTTCAGGAGACGCATTACCCGGACATCTATACCAGAGAAGAAATCGCCATGAAGATCGACCTGACGGAAGCTAGAGTGCAGGTCAGTGCATTGCTCGCGTTGGAAAATTAACTTTTATTATACGAGACTCTAAATTGCCAGCATTTATTTTCCGGCTTCGTTTTCTTTCCCCTCTTCTTACGATCGAGAGAAGTTGGACTCTTGCAAGATGCGCGTCCGATGGAGATTCGATGTCGCGCGAGACATCGAAGAGATCGAGCGATGTGACGGGCGTTCGCGACGTCATTGCTCACGATCGTGAGAGGGAAAGAAACGACATTGTCTTTCACGGGTCATACGTCATTTCGCGCTGCATATTGCGCAGTTCGCTCAGTCCGCGCAAAGAGAGGGATGTCGGCGGAAAGTCGGGGGTGAGTTGGCAGAAGGAGCGTAGTGTAATTGCATTACAGGCTCCATTTTCGTTTTCACGGTTACCTGCAGGTCGCAGGCTGATGGATTATACTGTCTAATACGCTTGACGGATTATCACGAACTTCTCGCGCGAGAGATGAACGATTTAGGAATTGTATGTAGGTATTATTCAAAAAGTGCGCTCCTCTCCCAGCTACATTCTGATTGTGTAATATCGTCTTACTTTTTCCCTTTTATTTTGCCGCCGATATACACATACGGTGGGGGGGAATATGGCATTAAACGATAAACCGTGATCTCTCGCGAAAAAATTCCTCTCGCGCAATTTTATTTACATGGTAATTTTCGGAAATTCGATCACGACGCAAATCGCGGATTTATCTTTTATGCATGAGGATAATTCCCAATTTACAGTAGTTTGACAAACAGGTTGAATTTTCTTGAACGTGACAGCTGAGCTCGGATAAACGTTCTCGTTTTGAGCGACGCGATTTACGTCGTTCATAGAAATTACCGTGACGAAATCAAGATGCACAGATACTTTTATACATATTTATAATATAACAAATATAATATATTTCTTCAACGATGGAAATATTACGTATATTTTAATTTTCCGAAAATATTGGAAATATTCGAAATATTTGGAAAATCATATATTTGGTTTTATATTTCTGCTTTACGAGATAACATTGTGTTTCTCTCGCTGAGAGAAAAAAATGCGACTTTCATATCAGACGAACAAAATTTAAAATCCAACAAACACATTGAATAGATTGATAGCATACATTCAAGTGTCTGGCAATAGTGTCCGCTTTAAATTCATTAAAGGGCTAATATTCGATAGCTATTTACATCGCGCAAATTTTATCTGCGGATTCTTGCCGAAAATCGCCGTCTCCGCGACATCAAAATCTGCATCTATCGTTAACACGTTCAATTACGGACCGTATTATGTAAGTAGGTGCCCGACTGTTTGCTGGTCTAGTACTGGATGGCAGATTCTTGGTCGATAGTCGATCACCACAGGTTGGCCAAGCGTTAGCTTGGCTATCCCATATAGGATGCATCGGCTAAACGATTGTGTTAATACACGGGAATACGACACGTAGAGTCCCTAAAAGATAGAGTCTGGCCACGGTGTGTGTTCCTCCTGATTCGTCGAAACAAAATTTGGAAAAACATGACGAAACCAATAGAAATTGTTATGCGAGGCAGAATAATTTGAAAATTCATATTTCATCGCACTATTTTATAAGATCGTTTTCTTCACGTACAAATTCAGATCAATGTGAGATTAAGATGACAATTTATATAACGAATACGACTTCGTTACATCATAATTTTTGACTGAATTGATTTCTTTTTACCTCGGAAATTACATACAGAATGATTTTACTTACTTCTATCATCAATTTGTAACCAAACAATGACAATTTTATCCCACTCAATGCGGTAAACACAAGTTGCGTTCATACATACATTGTCGCCACGTTTTTCCAAAACTAATCGAGTGACCAGACTCGATCTTCCAGAAGCTCTAACGACGCGCTGTCTGTCGCGCCGTCCTCGCGTATCTTCTTGGAACTTTCGTGGGACTCCGCCCCGCGAAAAGATGTCCCCGAGTTATTCGGCTGAGGACACAGGTGCCGCGGGTAGGGCAGGGCAGGGCAGGTGAGGTACATGCACGGTAACGCGATTAGACGGTTCGCCAGACGTTAGAGGGTCCTAAAGTTAGATTTCCCGACTGACGTGCATCACTTGAGCACTTCGCCGAATCTCATTCAGATTATCAACGACGACGACGATGACGACGGCGACGAGGTGGAGGACGAGGAGGAGCGCGAACGATCTCGTCGGTTTCGCCGCTGGTGGAAAGGAAAGGCGGGAGGGCGAAAGGGGGCAATAAATTTAATCTCAACTCCGACTTGCGAGACGTAGGCGCGGATTAATATAACGTTCGTCATCGGCGATCGTGATATTATTATACGGCAGGCGAGATTAGGAGAGGCGATTCGACGACGACGACCGAAGCGGTACCGAATCGCGCTCGCTATTTGCGGCGCCCTCTTGATATTCCGACGTATGTAATTCAGTTTTCCATGATGACGACGACGCGATCGGATCAGCGACGACGGAGGTGGCGGAGACTTAGCAGTTACTTAAGCTGCCGTTAACCCCTTGACCGCGGCGTCGATATTTACCGATGCCGTTATGTTGGTCGGAATACAATAACTCGGGGCTCTTCGATCCAATTCGTCGTCGTATTCCTGATCGAGCGCGATAACGTAATAACGCAAGTCCCTTCTCGCGAATTATATTTTGCGAAGCTATTCTCGGCCTCCTCCATCTTCGGAATGTCGGTACGCATGATTAATAATTAATAATTAATAATCATCACGTAATTAATAATAATCACGATGTTATCAATGATATCGACGTTAGAGGATATTTTATAGTGCGTCGTAGAAATTAATCGAGCAGCTCGATTTCACTTATATTACGTTTCTATCGTCTTTTCGTCGAACGTTTTCCCGTATTTTTATCCTCTTCTCTTTTACTTCCTTTAATATTTTAATGTTTCCAATATCGTTAAGACAGTAATATTAAAGATTACGTAGTTCTCATTTCGAAGGTTAAAGCGATCAAGTACGATCAAGTATGCTCGATTATCCGATTGTCTATTTATCTCGCAGATATATGGTGATAAATATAAGACATTATTCTTGAAATATAAAAGAGCGTAATATAAGAGGCGAAAACTGCTTTATTATATTTCGCCAGTATTGAGATTTATCGGATTAGCACTCATTGAAAAATCACGGTTTAAAAATATTTACCGATATCCGAATTTACCGGGTGAATATAAAATTGCTAATTCTATCTTGAGAAAACTGGAAGAAGGGACTTCATTCGGAACACTGATATCCGGCGTAAAATACGCGTTCTTTATTTCTACAGGTATCTACATTTTCACATTTTATCCATTCACGTGGATCCGTTCACGCGCGAGTTTCTTGAATCCTTCGAAATGAATTACCTCCCCGGATCCGTCTGGATTTTTAATTCTCGGCTTCTCTTCTCGCAATTCTTCTCAGATTTTGATTTGAATTATACAGACGACGATTTGACGAATGACTTTTCTATTTATTTAATAGCGTTTAATTCTAAGTGATTTTATATGGAGTCTATACGCATAACGTTTCGCAATCGGCATTAGATTATTTTGCCTGTCAAATTTTCGATATCGAGTACTGGCCCAGCATTGGATTAGGTAGTTGAATGATAACCCGGGCCCAAGAGTGGTAAATAATAATGACCTAACGATGGTATATCATTTCCAATTTTCAATGTCAATAATAATCACGTTTAAATAACGTTACCGCTGAAACGCTTCGTACCGATGTGGGCATTTCAGCACTAGATTTATTTACATTTTGCTCCTGTATAAATAATCTAATATACATACGCGTGTACGTGGTTGGAATAATTAATTTTTAACAAATATAAATAGATACACATAGATAGACAATATGAACAGCTCACGCTGCTGGAATATGACCGTAAAATGATATATAAGCGTGTCGTTTAAGCAGACAGTCAATTATTTACCAGGTACTGGTGGCCCAGTATTGAATGGCAGATTGTTGGTCAGTAGTTCACAGCTATACAGGATGTTTGATAATTACGTTAAAGATGCAAGTAGAGAACGTATTAAACTAAACAGAAAAGGTTTTTCACCTTGTTCGTAACCTTCGTAACATAGTTGTCAAGAAGTTAATTAAAAAAATATCAGCGAATGAGAGCGCAGCGAAGCTATGAGACAAGCTCTGAGAAAAAATTTAGTAGTTGTAACTACAATTTCGCAAATGAAAAATTTATATATGAAAACCATTTTTAGTAAATGTTATTACAGTGTCAGTGATAATAATCTTACATGCATATCGCCACTACTATTTTTAGAATTAAAATCAAGAGAAGATACAGTTGACAAAAATGATCATAACATGTATTTATTACTTCTCAGCTTTTGGCCGAGAAGGGGACTTACTTTACAATTTTCACCTTATCATATTCATTCCTCTGTATTGTAATATTATACATTTTTCAATATCTACTGTATATCTCTATATTTTTCTATATTATATTATTCCCCCATTTCCTCATGATACTTCATTATACTTTTTTCCCCCCTTTTTCTTTTTCTTCCTACAGTCTCTTTAACACCTCCTCGAAAATTTCTATAATTTTAGTTTGATCTCCCTCCCTCTCTCTCTCTCTCTCTCTATGTGCGTGCCTTGCGGAAGATCTCAATTTGTTTACAATCTGCTGGCAGCGACGAGTGGTCACGTGCCGCCCGTCGTTGCCAGGAGATTGTAAACAACTTCGAGACATGTTTCTTAGGCCGAGGGGGGAGCGGGAGATGGAACTCGTAGGAATAAGCCGCGAGTTTCGCGACACGCGGAGGTGGCCGACAACAACACGGGCGTGCTCGTCCGCAATCGCGTCTCGTTAAACGGTCACGTGTTCTCGCTCCTCGCGTATCACGAGCGAGGACCGCGCGATAATGAAGCGCGAGATAACTATTAATACCGGAGTAGTTTGCGGGTTCGCGGCGCAACCGCCATCTCCGGCGAGGTTGATTCTGCCGCGGTGGGGTAAGGTCCTTT